GATGAATAAGGGTCTTATCTAGGACCCTTTGAGTCATGACTAAAAAAAAGATTTGTTCATTTTGATGAACGAGTTTGAACAGGAGAGTCACGAACGCTCATCACAGAATAGAGCAAGGCGAGCATTTGAGCTTATAAAACTTAAACTTTGTTATTTATTTTTGAAATGGCCGTTCGTTTCGATAGACAAGACCCTTATTCATCGTCTGGTGTCGTTTAAAGCTCTTTGAAGCTGCACTGAAACTCTCATTTGGACCTTGAACCGTTTGGTTCCCATTGATTTCCATTATATGGAAAAAATTGAATGTTTTCATCAAAAACCTTAATTTCTTTTCAACTGAAAAAAGAATGACACGGACATCTTGGATGACATGGGGGTGAGTAAATAATCAGCAAAAGTTTTTAAAACTAAAAGCTTTAACTGTCACTTTAAAAAAATCTATTTAGTGTGTCCTTGCTAAATGAAAGTACAAATTTCTTATAAAAAAAAAATCTTACTTAACCCCAAACTCATGAACGGTGCTGTAATAGTTGTGTAAATCTCTATGATTTTGTTTCAGCTGCTAAGCATGAGAAATCCCGATGGAGGGTTTGCCACATATGAGACCAAACGTGGTGGGAAACTGCTGGAGATGCTGAACCCTTCTGAAGTATTTGGTGAGCAAGCAGTTAAAAATCATATTCAGTTGTCAATGTATTTTCCATCAGTCTTGACATGTCTGATTCTCTCTCTCTCTCAGGTGATATTATGATCGACTACACGTATGTGGAGTGCACCTCAGCTGTAATGCAGGCACTCAAACACTTTCACAGTAAATATCCTGAGCACAGAGCAAAAGAGATTAGGTACACACACACACACAAGCACGTTATTTCAGCATATTGAGGTTGGAAAAATCGTGTTGTTAAACCACACCTCTTGATCACATAGGACTACTCTTCAGCGAGGGCTGGACTACTGCAGGAGGGTTCAAAGACCTGATGGCTCATGGGAAGGGTACGCGTTGTTTCATTTATAATCAGAGACATTACTCCGTTGCTTCTTAGTCCGTTTATGAAGTTTATTGTCTTTTGACACTCAGTGCCTTTGTTGCTCGTCTTAGGTCTTGGGGAGTCTGTTTCACATATGGAGCCTGGTTTGGTCTGGAGGCATTTGCATGTATGGGCCACACTTTCCAAAATGGGTATGTTATTCGGGTGTGTCCTGATGTTGATGTTAATTTAATAAACCATCACTGTTCTTTTACTTTGCAGTTAATTTTAACCAATCACAACAGACTTGGCCATCTGAACAATTAGTGCTGAGTGGGCTCTCGGAAAGGAGGGGTTTAGAGAAACTGGATAATTTATTAAATCATTTCAGACACTGAGAAAAGGCGATGCTGCAATGTATATTAGCAGAAAGTTAAAGTGTTTTTTGACCTTGGATGCATGTAAACCTATCGTAGGAGACCTCCAAAACAGAATTAGGAAGCTTTAAAATACTGTGGCATAATAGGGGCAGTTTAGCATCCTCGTTCATGTGTTTTCTGTGTTGCAGATCTGTTTGTGTGGAGGTGAAACATGCCTGTGAGTTCCTTCTGTCGAAGCAGATGGATGATGGAGGCTGGGGCGAGGACTTTGAGTCATGTGAGCAGCGATGCTACGTTCAGAGCAAGAACTCACAGATCCACAACACTTGTTGGGCTTTGCTGGGGTTGATGGCTGCCAGGTAAAGTAGTGGGTTTTTAGATACCTTTACAGAAGTGCATCCTTAATTTACTAAACAAATGTCATGATTTTTTAGGTACCCTGACATTAGAGTGATTGAGCGAGGCATTCAAGTTTTGATTGATAAGCAGCTGCCCAATGGAGACTGGCCACAGGTGAGCAATGCTGTTCTCTTGTCTCCATAATTCAACTGAGTTCTCTCAATCTGTCTAATAACGTGCTGGGTTGTTTCCCTCTCTTCAGGAGAACATTTCTGGAGTGTTCAATAAAAGCTGTGCCATTAGCTACACCTCTTACAGGAATGTGTTTCCTGTGTGGACATTGGGACGGTTCTCACGGCTTTACCCCTGCAGCTCACTGGCTGGGAAACTCAAACCATGAGTCAGATACTGTGTACCTCTGCCTCAAATAAGCAGTATCTGACACAGCCTATATATGGAAAAATATTTTTTGAAACAAACCTGTTTGCTGCTCTTTAGAAACTAGGACTGATTTGTCTAGATTTGTTTAGAATTGTATCTACAGAATACTTCATTCATTTTTGTACTCATTTAACCCTCAGGTGCTCTTTGGTCATTTCTGACCGAAAAATGTTCTGTTTTGAAATTTTAAAAATCACAGCTTCATCGGAATGTTACGAAAGTTGGTGACTTTTATGGCATTGGGTATGTGAACACACAAAAAAATTGAGGTCATGATCCGAGCAGGCTAAGTGTTCGTAAAAAAATTGTCACACTTGTGCTCTTCGGTCAAAAATGACCGACCATAGGAAATGAATGGGAAATTGACAAAAACACAAAAACTTTGAGAATTTTTGTGTGTACAATCTAGAAATCGGCCACGATGCAGAAAAAAAGTGCTCAGCATTGAAGGGGTGACGCTCTAAAACATCAAGAGTGCAAAACAGACATACCCACCCCTACACACACACACTTTTATACACAAAAACACTAATAAATTGTGATTAAAGAAATCTGTTTTGAATATTTAAAACTCACTGCTTCTTCAGAAAATTAAAAAACTTGGTGACTTTTATGGCATTGGGTATGTGAACACATGAGGTCATGAATCGAGCAATTTAAGTGGTCGTAAAGAAATGAGTCACACTTTTGTTCTTCTGTCAAAAATGACCGACCCATAGGAAATGAATGGGAAATTGACAAAAAAATAAATAAATGTTTTGAATTTTTGTATGTACAATCTACGGAGCCCCTCTAGTCCCACTTTGGTAAAAAAAAAATAATTATAACTATCTTGTGGCTTCAAGATAGTAACTCGTGGCCTCAAGATAGTAACTCGTGGCCTCAAGATACTAACTCGTGGCCTCAAGATACTAACTCGTGGCCACAAGATAGTAACTCGTGGCCACAAGATAGTAACTCGTGGCCTCAAGATAGTAACTCGTGGCCTCAAGATACTAACTCGTGGCCACAAGATAGTAACTCGTGGCCACAAGATACTAACTCGTGGCCACAAGATAGTAACTCGTGGCCACAAGATAGTAACTCGTGGCCTCAAGATAGTAACTCGTGGCCTCAAGATACTAACTCGTGGCCACAAGATAGTAACTCGTGGCCACAAGATACTAACTCGTGGCCACAAGATAGTAACTCGTGGCCACAAGATAGTAACTCGTGGCCTCAAGATAGTAACTCGTGGCCTCAAGATACTAACTCGTGGCCACAAGATAGTAACTCGTGGCCTCAAGATACTAACTCGTGGCCACAAGATAGTAACTCGTGGCCACAAGATACTAACTCGTGGCCACAAGATAGTAACTCGTGGCCTCAAGATAGTAACTCGTGGCCTCAAGATAGTAACTCGTGGCCACAAGATACTAACTCGTGGCCACAAGATACTAACTCGTGGCCACAAGATACTAACTCGTGGCCACAAGATAGTAACTCGTGGCCACAAGATAGTAACCCGTGGCCACAAGATAGTAACCCGTGGCCTCAAGATAGTAACTCGTGGCCTCAAGATACTAACTCGTGGCCACAAGATACTAACTCGTGGCCACAAGATAGTAACTCGTGGCCACAAGATACTAACTCGTGGCCACAAGATAGTAACTCGTGGCCACAAGATATAGTAACTCGTGGCCTCAAGATAGTAACTCGTGGCCTCAAGATAGTAACTCGTGGCCTCAAGATAGTAACTCGTGGCCTCAAGATTATTAACTCGTGGCCACAAGATAGTAACTCGTGGCCTCAAGATAGTAACTCGTGGCCACAAGATACTAACTCGTGGCCTCAAGATAGTAACTCGTGGCCTCAAGATACTAACTCGTGGCCACAAGATAGTAACTCGTGGCCTCAAGATAGTAACTCGTGGCCACAAGATACTAACTCGTGGCCTCAAGATAGCAACTCGTGGCCTCAAGATACTAACTCGTGGCCACAAGATAGTAACTCGTGGCCACAAGATACTAACTCGTGGCCTCAAGATAGTAACTCGTGGCCTCAAGATACTAACTCGTGGCCTCAAGATAGTAACTCGTGGCCTCAAGATACTAACTCGTGGCCACAAGATAGTAACTCGTGGCCTCAAGATAGTAACTCGTGGCCTCAAGATACTAACTCGTGGCCACAAGATAGTAACTCGTGGCCTCAAGATAGTAACTCGTGGCCACAAGATACTAACTCTATCTTGAGGCCACGAGTTACTATCTTGTGGCCACGAGTTAGTATCTTGTGGCCACGAGTTAGTATTATTATTATCTGAATGTCATAATTATGTTTATATTTTTCATATGATTTGCACTGATTGAAATCAGTTTGGATTAATATTGTTGGTGTTTGGCTAACTGCATACTGTTCAATACTGCTTTTTATTATTTAATGTGGATTTTTTAAAAATATCAAAATTTTAAATTACTGTTATTAAAGATGAAAATCACTGAATTACTATGTACTGGAATGAGGCCAAGTGACGTGTAGCATACATCTCTATTTAACTCATTCTTCAAATATTAAGCGTTATAAAGTCCATTTTACATTTTGCACAAATTTGAATTTAATTTAGAATTGAATTAATTTATGAGTTTGTTTATTCTGTTGGACACAAAAGAAGATATTTTAAAGAATGATGGTAAACAGACAGTGACGGTTGCCATAGCCGTATAGGCCAATAAAAGATTAGAAGTCAATAGGTTCCTCAACTGTCCTTCATTTTTGGCTAAGCTATTGCTTTAAAAACGTTGTGGAAGATTTGTGCAGAATATACACTATTTATTAATATTATTACATGTATGTTGGCTGCAGACTTTTATTTTGACATTGGTGACGCGTTGTTTCTGCGTTCACGCTGCCCTGGGTTTATGGATGAAACCGGTTAAAGAACTGCTCGTTTTCTTACAAAATATCCCTCAGTTTTGTGCGATATCGAAGGGCTCTCTGCAGCATGACAGGACGGAGATATGACTGTTAATGTCACGGTTTAAATGATGGCGTCAGGATGGCGACAGCCTCGATCAGCTACATCCGCTTTACTCATTAACACCATAATCATCTTCATCAGCACCGGCGCACAGACCCACACCTGTGACCATAAAGTGCCCCTGCCTACAGAGGTCAGTCCCTCTAATTTGTTTTCATTCTTCTGGCCCCCAAATATGAGCTTTGTTACACATTGTTTGGCTGTGCCTTCTTAATATAACCATGCTGCGAATTTTTCCTTTAAAATGAATGGTAACCGAGGCTGTCAATCAGCCTTTAGTCTCCTTTTGTGTTTCACAGAAGAAAGAATGTGACATGAAGGTGAAAAATTTGACATAATAAACATTTTTTGGGTCAACTATCCCTTTAAACGACATTATCAGGATGATAAAATATAGTTCACCTTAAAATGGAAAAAGTTAAACCTGTCATAATTTACTCATCTTCTTCGTGTTGTTCTAAATCTCTAACGTTATATCTTATGTGTAACACAAAACAAATTGTATAGCAGTCCAAACTTATTTTTCCATTAAATGAAAGTCTACTCACTGCTCAAATAATTTTTAAAATACTGTTACTTAATATTAGTGGTCCCACACTTTATATTAGGTGTCTTTAACTACACTACTTATACTTAATAACGTTTAAATTTGATTAAATTTGATACAATGCACTTATTGTATACATTCATTTTTTTCATTGTACTTATATATATATATATATATATATATATATATATATAATACCTGCATGTAATTAAATTAATATCAGTAATTACATCTATAATTACACTGACTGTTATTGACCCTTCACCTACTTCTTAATCCAAACTTGACATACACATACCATATCAAAACCTATCCCTATCCCACCCCAGTAGCAGCAAGTGTTTTGCAATACAACATGAACACAATAAGTACAATTGTACTTATTTTTATGTATGTACATAGTAGTTAAGTGTGACCTATTATTCAACCAATACTTATAATAATCTCTCTGGTTTGCCCTTCTAGGTGATCCATAAAGTGTTTCTAAAGCCAGATAGATTGATCAAAAGAAGCACTGACCAGCAGTTAAAGATCCAAATAGAGTACGACTCCAGCTTGGATGGGTTAGTTATTTGTTTATATTTTATTAAATGCAGGAATGCCACATTATCTTGACCATACATTGACTTCACAATGTCTTTACTGCTCAAACAGGTTAGATGAAGACAAAAGCAGCCTTGTGAAGGTATATTTTGACTTCTGTGGTCAAGATTTTATCAGTCAAAGGTTATTTGTTAAATCTTAAAAATGGCTCTTTACCTCTAAATAGGATGTATGCATGCATTATTGATCTTTGTCTGCTTTGTTTCAAGGACAAGCTCCTCCCACAGGCTATTGATTATCTTCAGGAGGCCTTCAGGGTTCGTAGGCAGTCTGGCACAATATTGCTGAGCAGGTAATTCTCTTCTGAGCTAGTGTTGTCTGCCAGCAAATCCTCTTAAAATTGCACTCGGGTCTGGCCTTCTGGATGCTTGCTGGTTACTTAATCTAATTAGTGTCTGTTTTTATTCCCAATATATTTTTCTTAATTATTAGGCAATGTGAAACCAATCAGTACCTTAGAAAGAGAGATGATCCGCATCGCTATTGTCAGGGACCATGTGCAGGCATCACCAAGTGTGGCCCAGTGGTTGTCCCTGAACAACATTTGCAAGTGGGTCCCTTATAAAAATGTGTTACTTGTTTTTATTTCAATATCATTTTTGTATGTATATATACAGTATATTATTTCTGTTTTTTTGTTGCATATAAACCGTATAGATTTGGAAGTCCAAAAACGTCAAAACATTTGTTCCTCATGTTTTCATTATGTTTGCTTAAAAGAGTAGTTCACTTTAAAAAAAAAAAAACTTTTGCTGATAATTTACTCACCCCCATGTCATCCAAGATGTCCGCGTCTTTCTTTCTTCAATCGAAAAGAAATTAAGGTTTTTAATGAAAACATTCCAGGATTTTTCTCCATATAATGGACTTCAATGGGAACCAAACGGTTCAAGGTCCAAAGGACAGTTTTGTGACTCTCCTCTTCGAACTCGTTTATCAAAATGAACAAATCTTTTTTTCGTGTGATTTGGTTCATTCAACGAACGTAAAGAACGATTTGACTCTGGAAAAGATTTGTTCATTTTGATGAACAAGTTCGAACAGGAGAGTCACGAACGCGCATCACAGAACAGAGCAAGGCGACCATTTGAGCTTATAAAACTTAAACTTCGTTTTTTTTTTTTTAAATGAGCGATCGTTTCGCTAGATAAGACCCTTATTCATCATCTCTGGAATCGTTTAAAGCCCTTTGAACAGTTTGCACTGAAACTGTCTTTTGGACCTTGAACCGTTTGGTTCCCAATGAAGTCCATTATATGGAGAAAGAAAGACATGGACATCTTGGATGACATTGGGGTGAGTAAATTATCAGCAAAAGTTTTTTTTAAAGTGAACTCCTTTAATTCCAGCAGATTGTAAGCTGCAAATTTTGCCAATTGGTGTAATCCAGCCAGCCATTTGAAATATTATTATAAAAGCTAAACTAGTAATATTTACAGAAGTATCATGACTAGATTTTTAAAGCTAAAAAAATGAAAAATATTGATAGATATGACTATATTGAAAGGTAAATATACGTGTTGTTCTTTAGCAATGCAGGGTTTGCAGTGAGTCTGGAAAGTCCTGCGGTCCCGCCGGTCCTCCCGATGGTGAGGGGGTGGCGAGGGCGGATTTTGTGCTGTACGTGAGCGCGATGACCACAGAGCGCTGTGGACAAGAGAACATCGTAGCCTATGCAGCGTACTGTCAGCTGGAGTCTGAACTGGACAGGTAATGGCAATGTAGTTGATTTTTGATTTGCCGTGGTCTAGTGTGCTGCTGATAGTAAGCACAGAATCTCTTAATACAGGCCCATCGCTGGATATGCCAATCTGTGTCCCAATATGATCTCCACTCAACCTCAGGAGTTTGAAGGAATGCTTTCCACAGTCAAACACGAGATCATACATGCCCTGGTAACAACATTAAACTCTATACATCCACTTGACACAGAGACCATGGAAGAGCTTCATAGTTTTTATAGATCATGCTTTGTTTCTAAGGGTTTTTCGGCAGGACTCTTTGCGTTTTACCATGATGATGATGGGAAACCTTTGACACCACGTTCTGCAAGTGGTCTGCCTGCATACAATGAAAGGTGATGGTTATATGTTTGTATATTCATTTCAATTCAGTTTGAAATATTATTTACATAAATGTACAAAACTATGTAATGCTACTTCCAAAAAACAAGAACAAAAAACTCTTGCATTGTCAATACAAGATCTGCACCAAAAATTTATGCACCTCTTAAAGGAAATAACATCACAAAATGTATTTCCATCAGGTGGTGCATCAATTTTTGGTCAATATCTTGTATTGACAATGCAGTTCAGCACACTGTAAAGTCTCCTCCATCGCATCCCAAAGACTTTCAATGAATTTAAGATTTGGACTCAGAGGTAACGTGTGAAAATGAATCTTCATGCTCCCTCCCAACTGTTTGTTCACACTTTGAGCCTGCTGAATCTGGACATTGTCATTCTGGAATATGAACATTGTTTCTTTCTACATGGTTGTTTAAGAAATAAAAAGCTACACACTCCATCAATTAGTGTTAGAGGAATTGTTGCCAAACATATAACATGGTAATGTTTAACATTTGAAAGCAGTGGCCACTATGTTTTGCTCCGATTTTGCCTTGTTTGCCGTTTAATGTTCCTCATACGCAACAGAAATGGCAGCGCTTATCAGTAATCACCATTGCAACCTCTAACAAAATTCAGTCACACCGGCAGAAAAAGAGGTCACAAAATGCAAACGTTACATCACAGCATAGAGCCCTGACACACACTGGGTCTCATTCATGAAACATTCGTAAATATACGAGTAAATATGAGAGGGATTTGCGCGTAAAGAGACCTTCCCAAAAACTCTTCTCCTGATTCACAAATACTTCGTAAACGTCAGATGTGATGGTGAGATGTGTGTGTGTGTTAGTGAATTCCAACCAGTCGTAAATGGGATGCGCATTGCGCGTGCACGTTTATTCTCAATTACCATAAATCCCACCCATTATATCCGACTGACATCTATATAGGCATATAATAACATGAATGCGAATGAAAAAAAAAAGATTTCTCGGATGCAGAAATTGAAGTTTAATTATCGCAAGTTCATCGAAAACGCCACATTTTATTTTCAAGCGTACATAGTGGCGTATCAGGTCCTAAAAAAAGGAAGCTTGGCAGGATATTACAGATGCAGTTAATGGAGTTTCATCTGTCAATCGAACAGTCCCAGAAGTGAGAAGAAAATGGTTCGACATTAAGCTTGACAGCAAAAAACGAATTAGTTCACTTCGGAAAAATCGTATTCAAACTGGAGAAGGACCGCCATTGATCACCAGATCTGCTTTTACTGGCTCTCATAATAAAAGTTAAAAGAAAAAAATGTATGTAATTGCTATGTATAATATTTTTTTCAAAATGCTGTTTAAATATGTACCCGATTAAGGTGAATTACGTAAATGCAGCCTTATTAATGAGCAAAACGTTCGGATGTTAAGCGCACCGTTTACACGTGGCCGGGAGCAGGTGTAGATTTCTTGCGTACCAACTAACATTTGTAAAATACGAACATTTTAATGAATCCGAAAATTTACGCCAGAACCATTTTACACACGATTTACACACAAATTCGTTCTGCTCGTGTTTCATGAATGAGACCCACTGTGTTTATTTCTTTCTATACCACTCTCTCAGTTTAGGGTTATATCAGTGGAGCGATAAAGTCATTAAAAGAGCAACTCGGCTGTGGGACATCCGTGGGGGTCACATGGTTAGACACACGGTCCATCTTTTGGCCACTCCACGTGTGGTGGTAAGCATTTCTGTTTATTTTCTTTTAAAGGAACATCATTCATATAGTCATTTGTGCGACATGATTTGTTTGCAATGTTTTAACAGGAGGAAGCCAGGAGACATTTTAATTGCCCCATTCTAGAGGGCATGGAGCTTGAGAACCAGGGTGGCGCTGGAACAGAGTTCAACCATTGGGAGAAACGTCTGTTAGAGGTAATGAGAGGTACACTGAACAGTTTCAGTGTCAGTACTATCAAAGTACTATTTTATTTCAGAATGTTTTATTTTAACAGAATGAGGCAATGACTGGATCTCACACCCAGAACAGAGTGTTTTCCAGAATTACTTTGGCCATAATGGAGGATACAGGGTAAGATAAAAATTGTTGCTCATTGCTAATGCAGCTGATTCATGTGTGAACATTCATATTTAAGTGGAATTTAAAGGAGAACTCCTGTCTGTATAAGCGAAGTGGACTGTCTTTATAAAGTATCTTCTTATTAAACGGTCTGTGCACAAAGTTCTCAATGCTTCGTTTTGCATGTATGGACCCTCATTATGTTACTGTGTTAGTGTGGGGCTATTTTGAGCCTTGTTAGTGGTATTAACTAGCGATTTCTTTTTACTTACTAAATGCCCCCATATACTAGCGTTATACACGAAACAGTTTTTAGAGATAAAACTCTTTACATTCGATTATCATGAAAACAAATCTCAGAGAATGGTCGACTAGGTACTGATGTTTTATTAGACCAAAGGTTCATTTTGCGCCGGAGTTCTCCTTTAAGTACCAAATTGTACTGTTGTCTTGTGAGTGAATCTGTGCTATCTTATGTTTTAAGGTGGTACAAGGCCAATTATAGTATGGCAGAGAACCTGGAGTGGGGAAGAGGTTTGGGGTGCGACTTTGTGATGAAAAGCTGTAAATTCTGGATAGACCAACATCGCCATAGGTAAGCTTTTATATGTGAGATGCATACATAATATATATATATATATATATATATATATATATATATATATATATATGTATATATATATGTATATATATATATATATATATATATATATATATATATATATATATATATATATATATATATATATATATATATATAAATGCATAATAAAACTTTGTATGCACTCTCAAATAAATCTGTTGTTTTAGTTACTTGATCCCAGTGTCTTATTGTACATTATCTAGAGAAATGGGAGTTTCATAGACTTAAAGGAGTAGTTCACTTTTTAAAAAAAATTACAAATTTACTGATAATTTACTCACCCCCATGTCATCCAAGATTTCCGTGTCTTTCTTTCTTCAGTCGAAAAGTTTTTTGATGAAAACATTCCAGGATTTTCTCCATATAATGCACTTCATTGGGAACCAAACGGTTCAAGGTTCAAATGAGAGTTTCAGTGCAGCTTCAAATGACTTTAAACGACACCAGACGACGAATAATGGTCTTATCAAGCGAAACGATCGGCCATTTCAAAAATAAATAAAAAAAGTTTAAGTTTTATAAGCTCAAATGCTCGCCTTGCTCTGTTCTGTGATGAGCGTTCGTGACTCTCCTGTTCAAACTCGTTCATCAAAATGAACAAATCTTTTTTTGAGTCATGACTCAAAGGGTCCTAGATAAGACCCTTATTCATCGTCTGGTGTCGTTTAAAGCCCTTTGAAGTTTGCACTTAAACTCTCATTTGGACCTTGAACCGTTTGGTTCCCATTGAAGTCCATTATATGGAGGAAATCCTGGAATGTTTTCATCCAAAACCTTAATTTCTTTTCCACTGAAGAAAGAATGACATGGACATCTTGGATGACATGGGGGTGAGTAAATTATCAGCAACAGTTTTTGTTAAAAGTGAACTACTCCTTTAAACATATTATAGTATAGTGGAAAAGGTTGATACTTGAACCTGATGGGGTCTTGCCTTCTGTGAATAAAACAGGAGGCCAACACTGAGGCCATACTGTGATTCTGTGAGGAGCGCACCTCTGCAGCTCACCTGCAGGCAGGACCAGCTGGCAGTGGCCGTGTGCAACCTGCAAAAGTTTCCTCATTCACTTCCTGTAGAGTATCAGGTAAGATCAGCTGATCAGCTGTTTGTAATCTTCACTCAATCCTCAATCTGCTGTTTGTTCTCACATTAAAATATTATAAACATTAACATTGTTTTTCTTTAAATCTGCTTAAAACAATGTGTATTGTGAAAAGCATTAATCAAATCAATGAATGGACTTGACAGGATACCTGTTGGTTGCTTTTTAATTGTATAAATCCAGGATGTAAATGTAAGGTAAGTAAGGAATGCCTGAGGTAAACGTGTTGTCCTGATTCAGTATCTGCGGTCAGATGAGATGATGTCACTATTTTAACATTATTTTCGAAAACAACCTTTCCTGTCCTGTCAGCTGTTAGAAAACCACTGGATTAAATCATATTGATTAACCCTCTCCCTCCTGTAGTATTTTGACCATATCCCTGGCGTCCCTGAGGCGGATTTATCAGCGTATGGAGGGGCTGTGGAGATTGCAGACTACTGTCCCTTTAGCCAGGAGTTTAGTTGGCACGTTGGTGGGGAATACCAGCGCAGCTCTTACTGCAGGGTACATGAGAATCAGCCAGGTGAGATGCCTCTTCCTCACATCCTTTCAGTGTTTTGGATGTAAACTCTTCTTCCATTCTTCAACTGTTGAGACTATTGAGGTTTGCTTTTTTAGCCACATGGAGAAACTATGGGGCGGAACAGTACGGCCCAGGATCAGTGTGTCTATACCAAAAGTCAGCGTTCGTGATGGAGCAGTGCACCAAACTAATGACCTACCCAGACTGGGGCAGTGGTTGCTATAAGGTAACAATATTACCTATGAGTGGTGAACTCACGATTCCATTCAAAAGTTTGGGCTCTGTAAGATTTTTAAAAAGTTTTGAAGGCTGCATTTAGTTTATTAATGAGTAAATTTAGTTAATTTTAATGTATTTTAAATAATCTAATGTAATAATAATGTATTCCTGATTTCCTGTGATGGCAAAGCTGAATTTTCAGCATCATTACTCCAGTCTTCATTGTCACATGATCCTTCAGAAATCATTTTAATATGCTGATTTGGTGCTCAAGAAATATTACTTGTTATTATCGATGTTGAAAACATTCTTTGATGAGTAAAAAAAGTTCAAAAGAACAGCATTTATTTGAAAAGGCAATCTTTTGTAACATTATGAATGCCTGTACTATAAAGTTTCATCCTTGCTGAATAAAAGTAGAATTTCTTTTTATTTCTCTGAATGGTAGTATAAGTGTGTGTGTGTGTAAATACAAATTACAGTAAATATTAAAAGCATTTATCTTCTTTTCACTTTGAACTGGGGAATTTATGTGTACTGAAGCTGTGATTTGTGGTGCAGGTGACTTGTACAGCCCAAGGGTTGCTGGTTTGGGTGCAGAACGAGTCCTATCCATGTGTCCATACTGGTCAGGTGATCAGTGTGAGCGTACGAATGAATGGATGGGTCTACAGCGGGCAGCTCATCTGCCCCACCTGCTCTGACTTCTGCAGCGACTGCCCCCTCCCTCATGAGATACCACCTCTAAACACCACCAAAAGTGCTCGCTTAGGTGAGTTACTGTCCGACATGCTTCACATAACCCCATTAGCTGTTTACATTCACCTATTTTTATGCACATTTTTGGTATATTGTATAAAAAGCGCTGGATGGAAACCCCAAGATCATAATATTTCACTGTATTTTACAGTATTTTTCATCAAATAAATGCAGCCGCTGAGATGTACATCACAAGGTTCAGAGAAAGTAAAAATGTTTCATATTATAATATAATGATTTTTTGTTCTCTCAGATCCTTGTTCCAGATCTTCCTGTTTGGTGGTGAACTTATGGCAGCTCCTGTTAAGTCTTACTCCACTGCTGATCGGGTTTCTCCTCTGTGGCAGGGACTGAATTTAGTCCTGGTGGAACGGGTGAATACGGACAGCTTGCTGCCACGGGCTTCCCTTGAGGTTTAGCTGCCGTGGAGGGCACAACGGCCATCACTTCTGTAGCGTAGTCTGCGATCTGATAACTGTTCTCTATGCAGAGGTGTGGACTGTAGGTGGGATTGAAAAGCCATTGATTGCACTCCTCCTTGCCTGGCTGTCAGGTGCCAGCGAGCCGTAGATCCAATGTGAAGCCATAGTCATGGAAGCTGCGGTCGTGCAGCACAGTTATGCAGGTGCTAATTAATGTTCTCTTTGTCTCTCTGAAGGACCTGTAACATTTTGGGTCGGAACGTAGGCATCTGGCTGAGAATGATGGGAGATATTCTCTCTAGTGTTCAGCTCATGGTGCTCCTCTGCTGTTCTGTGAAAGTACTTGCTGATGGTAATGTTTTGATCAGCGTACATGTGACTGACGATGCTTGTGAATTTGCATGGAGAAGGGTAGGTGAGATGTCTGTTCAGGTCAGTGAAAGTGCTGAATTGAATAGTTTTTTTGATAATTTATAGAAATTTGAATGTTGCCATTGTGTACGATAAATGCGTTAGAAGAGGTTAAATTGATTCATATTCAGTCCAGAAGTCTGAGATTACATTGAAAAGCTAGGATAAAAAAAATAATATTTGTAGATGCATAGAAAAATAGTAAAGATATTATAAAAAATAAAGAGAAACACCTTGATCATGTGTGTATAGCTTGGGTGCTGCTGTCATTACAGGAAAAAAAAGGAGGATAAACCAAATACTTACTAATTCTGAAATTTTTAATTCAACCTTTGACTCAGCGTTGTTATGCTGATGTTATATCTTTTGTAATACATTTTATACTAAATTAAATGGCATTGTCATTAGTGGTTTCAGACTTTTGGGCCTCTATTTAGTTTTATTACAACTATCAGATATACAAAATTCAGCTTTGATTAAAGGTGCAGTAAGTGATTTCTGAGAAACACTGTTGATATTTGAAATCAACGCAAAAAAACACACCCCTTGCTGCGTTGCTCCGCCCCCAAAAAATGCATAAACGCGCCCCTGGTCAGAGCCTGACTCCACCCACTGGCAATATTTGAAAAATTGCTGAAAAAGTGGGCAGACTGCAGTGGAGATTGAGGGGACGAAATAGATGGTAAAACACTCTATCCTGATCGTTTTCAATACTCGCAATTCCAACTCCTGACTCCCTACAGTGGTTTTGATGAAACAAGCTGGTTTTTATACTGCCAAGGGTGTAGCTCATACCAAAAGCGTGTTGAGCTGAAACCTGCGTACGTCACGAAGAACCGCTAACATCCAATTGGAAAATTCAGCTGCAGTAGCCACCGTTCAACCTGAAGAGGGCAGCACCAAGATGTTTTTACACCATATATTGTAGAAATAAAACACTTTATACTCAAACGTCAAAAAAGTTATTCGAATCATTGACTGGTATTAATAAAGATCCATTTTTACAGATCATTAACTAAAAAAAATTGTTTAGGGTTTAGTTACTTTTTAAAGGCCATTGCACACTGGGTACGAAATTTTCGTATGCGTTTTTTCGTGTTCGTCAACCTAAAAATTCGTCACGCACAGAAACCTTGCACACCGAGTCCGATGAGTATTTATTAAACCTTTGCGGAAAAAACGTAAAAATACAAAATGAATTCGTCAATCAGCGAGGATAATTTTGGTGCCCTCTCTCTTATTGAAAAGAGAAAAAAGAGAAAATATTGCGTTTGCGTCCATGATCCAAATCAAGGAGTTGCGATTCAAAGGTTTGATGCTGGAGCCACATTTTAAAAACAAGAACACCAATTTCCGTGAACCAGTCGATTCTGAACAGAGACTGGCAGTATGTCTAAGGTATGGAGACACACACACACACGCACGGCCCGGTGGAAGTGCTGGGCAGACAGAACAGCTGTATATAGGCTGTTATATATTGTACCCAAATAATACATTATTAGTTATCGAATTGGCTGCTCAATCACACCTTTTAATCGATCCGAAATTTCAATATGATTGAAAGGGAAGGTTTCCTTTCATAATCCAATCGAGAGAAGAGAACATAAACACTTGATCGAATTGAAATCCGAAACTAAAAGCACTGCGCATATGTGCAATGATGTGAGTCAAAAAACCTCTCAAAATGCTGGCTGTGGATGCGAAAAACTCAGAAAATCGAACCGATCCGAATTTTTTTATGACGGACGAACGTTTCGGAGGCGGTGTGCAAGCGTGAGGTCGAATTTTTTTTTTTTTTGGACTTCTTTTTCCACCAATATTCCTCTAATCTTTTTCCTTTTGTAATGTCACTCAGCCATCTTTCTTTCTACAGTCTTTCTTCAAATTTCCCTCTTGCATAAAGTGGACATGCCCCCTACTGCAGATTGGCTACAAGTGTTTTTTGGTGCTCGGTCCGATCCACTTTCTCAAAAATCGTTTACTGCCCATTTAAGACTATTACTTTGATTACCTTGAAATGTGTTGCCAGATTTTGGTCCTAAAGGGCTGTCCTACCGAGAACAATGGGTTAAGAAAAAGAGAAAAGTGCTTTTTGTAGACCTTTATATGAGATCAGACAACATTTGTTTTGTTTATTAGTTCACTGAAAAGTATGCATCTTTTTTTAACACTAATTTGCATTTGAAATGTAGCCATTATTTTAAAAACAAAACTGGGAAAAAATACCAAGGAGTTGCACTGTGTATATGTGATAGTTTAGAGATTAGATTGTTACTGTTTAGGTGTTAGAAGACTAGCGAAGGTGTCTGTAATGCAATTATCTAGTATTTTACTTTTAATGGTGTGGATGCTGATCTGTCATCTGGTTACTAAATACACTAATTTATAGTTAAAAAAAAGTTTAACCTTTTGGCATTCGTAAACATTTTGGAATTGTAATATTTGATTTATTTATTAGGTAATAGTGTGCTATAATTTCAGGAAACAGTATTAGTTCAATATAATGATTTTGCTGAGAGAAAACATGGCAGCTCTAACTAGAACACTGATTTTAGAAGTTGTGTAAATTATACGTTTCTTTAGTATACTGATCGCTCCTGTGTCAAGAATTTTATTTTCCATTTTGAGTCTGATGAAGAGATTAATTGGGATATATGTGTTGCAATGAAGTTTCCTGGTGTCATAGTGAAGCTTAGAGGATCTACTCTAAAATATGGTGTGATAATGGTATGAATTCATATTAACTGGATGTATGTATAAGTTTATATTCTGAAATGTTGGACTGAATGAGCCCTTACAGTTTTAGGGGCTCATTATTATGTAACTGAAAGAGTTTTATACTCTTAATCAAACCTCAACTGAAATGCCTTTCCCTTCATGGTATTCACTCAAGGACTGTATGAGCATATCGTTTTAACGGTATGTTTTAACATAATTTTGAGTTTTCTTAGACTGAAAGCAAGCCGGCTTTGTATTTTGCTCATATAGGAGACTCTTTTCTTGGGTATTGTAATTATCACTATGAGAATTGAGGCTTAGTAGCATTGAAACATTTATGAACAAACTTATTTATTTAATTATACTTTTTCTGGTGTGTACGGTACATTTCATCTGTCAAAAATGACTGAGAGACATTTGACAAAACCCATAATAGGACATGTTTTTTCATAATTCATTTGAATTATTGCTGCATAAATGTGTATGCCTTTTTACTTATTTTACTTATTTTATTTATTATCATTTTATCTACATATTAATTTAATAAATAATGTTTAAATGTTTTGGTTGGAAAATCTTGTGTTGAAGAGAAATTAATTTAAAATGCCAAGTCATGAGACTGAAGACCAAAGACAAGACTGCAGAACTAAAAATCTGCCACACAATCTCCCATTATATGTTTTACTCCATCTTTTGTATTGTATATGGTACATTAGTGCTTTTTTAGTGGTATACAATTAAAAGAGATGTTCAATAATCAGTCACCTCCTGTTGATACATGATTTACAGTGTTTTTATAGTGTTTATTTTCCCAATAAAATGAACAAAAAGACAGAAGTGAACAGTCGACAGCTGAAGTGGATCAAAAGTTGTCCTAAGACAAGAACTGGTATTGTACAGAAATCATGTAAAACTTTGATGAAAGGTTTTGGTCCACTTCAGCTGTGGCCACTGTTCAAATGTTTTCTTAATGTCAAAAAGCTTAAGATGCAGCATAGAAACGTTAGTGTTCAATAGTTAAAATATAAAATTACACCGTATTTGCCAAAAAAAAAAAATCGATCTGGTAAATTGATGATGGGATGAATAATACAACTCTTTTTTTAAATTTAATAAATTACGTCAAGAAGGTGGTAACATACATCTGGCCAATCAGAATGAGAGCTGAACTAGCGCGCTTCCGTCTGGTCGCCACCTAGGACTTTTAATTTGAAAATTGGATTTTGTGGTGTTTCTAAAGAACAAAAATACTAAAATTATAAAACGTCATTGAATCAAACTATATTGATATGATCGATATAGGATGCATAACACAATTATATCCAAACAATTCCGTTTGTACGGTTCAAACAGTCTTTCTTTTAGACCACCTCCTGTCACATGATGTAGTTCGCGAATGACTTCACGCTCTGTCATGGCTGCACGAGACATAAACATGCCAGTGGTGCTGTAATTCAGAGCATTAAACCAGTGCGATGATTAAAACAGCGGCCATAACAAATCATTTTGACTTGAGATTCGCCATATGAAATCGGTTAGTCCGTGTTTGAGCGGCAGGTGAAGTGTTGTAGATCATAGGAAGTATCCAATCATGCAGACTGAAGCCGTACTGGAGCATCACAGCTCACAGAGTTCCCTCAGGACGGGCTCCAAATCCTGGCAGTACAGGTAAGTTACTTCAAACACATATTCTCATTTTAGAACATTCTAGTTTTTAATTATGAAAAATATCTCGAAATCAAATAGCGAAGGAAATACCTTTTATTTGACCAGGAGATTAGATTGTATGATAGTCAATTTCCTGTGTAAGCTGGACTTTAAACACGAAATTGACATATCTGTCATGGTCTACTACGGTATGTCGTTTAATCTATGACTTACTTTTTTCAGGCTTCACAAAAGAACAGCCTCAGTCTCCTTTCACTTTCATTAAATTACAATAGACGATAGACCATAATTTTAATAGTTATGTGGATATTATTCTTCAAACATCCTGTGAATGGTTTTTGTTAGCACTCACAGCTTATGGTTGATATTTGGTGATGTGATCTTTTGGTAATAGTATGCTATGCATGTCTTGTACACACTATTGAGTTTAATCATATTTTTTTATTAACTGAAGTGATCTGATGGAAAAGGTGGATGGGTATTTGATGAAGTATACCAATCTTGTGACTGGATGGCAGTATCGGTGAGTCTGATGTATTCATTTTTTTTTATAAACAGGTCAAAATGGAATCTGTTTAGGTTTAGTGGGAAAAAAAATCTTTGGAAGTCTTTCTCAATATTTAATGAATGATTAGACCTTTATAATTAAAGGTATGGATCTGTGAGTGCATATTTCATCCATGGTTATCATATTTAGATAAAACTAAAACCACTCAAAATATATTTTTCAATTTGTTTACTGAAATAAATATTAAAACCTTAAGTATAGACAAAAACCCTAATAAAAATGACTAAAACAATATAGAACGAGATACTGTAGTTATATCTTGAAATTGTTTTTATACTTATATTTTCCATTTTCATCTTATCTTTAGTTAAAATTAAGATCAAAATGGAAATAAAAGATGTATAAAAACAATTTAAAGATACTAATAAAACTATAGTATCTTGTTGATACTAACGTAACACTGATTCCATGTGGGCCTGCTTATATGCTCGGATCCTCTTCTGTTTAATCAACAAGGGCGCAACCTTCTCCGTTTTCTCTAAAGCTGTTATTTTTCACTCACTGTAGATATTTTGTGCTCAACAATGAGGCAGGGCTGCTGGAATACTTTGTAAATGAGCAGTCCAGGAATCAGAAGGCCCGGGGCTCGCTACCGTTAGCCGGTGCAGTGATTTCCCCCAGCGATGAAGATTCACACACCTTCACTGTCAACGCCATCAGCGGAGAGCAATACAAACTCAGAGGTTGTCACATGGTCTCTTACACTCTTTTTCTACTTTTTTAAAATCCCAGATGTTTTCACTTCCTTTTTTATTCTGTATATTCTCATCGAAATGAATGGCTTAGTATAAATAAAACAGCCCTAGATAGTGCTCTCTTAATCATACCACAAGTTTTTTTTTTGTGAAAATCTATCCTTATACTAGCATGCTTATACTATACTAGATCAGATCTCTAGTCTGATCTGAAATAATATGATCCCTATATCAAGGCTTGACATTAAATTGCTCACCAGCAACTGTGGCTAGTGGTTTCCAAAGTTATTGGCTACTCAGCATTTTCACTGGCTACAATTTCGGCACAGATACCATGGAGAAAATCGAAATATTTTTTATATTGCCTCATAATTTAGCAGGATGTATATTAGGCTGCTGTCACTTAAGACCTGGCACTCTGATCCATTATGCTGATACACATTTGTTTAATAACTATTTATGGTAATTTAACACATAACTGTCTGTGTTTACGTGAATACTTGCCAAGACCTGCATTTTGACTTTATTTGATTGTTTAAGCGCAATCAGGAGCGAAAAATAACTAAATTTAGTACTGAGAGTTGGCTTTATGTGCGTGCACTTCGGTTGTGAGCACAAAATCTGCAGGAATTGGTAAAATTATGAGCAATATGCGCTTGACATCTCATGATAAAATTCAAGCCCTGTAAAGTCAACAATATTAATTCGGAGCAAATTAAATGAGTGAATGAGGGGAGGCAGATTTGTGTGTCAACTCACTGTTAGACAGATGAGAATACTTTATCTATTCTGTGGAAAATTAGTTTTGGGTGCGTTTCAGATATTTCAGTATCGATATACATGTATCTTAAAATCTCTATTTTTTTTACAACTCTACATTGCACCTAGTTTATTATTTTAAATGACTTTTTAAAAGACTACAATTGAAAAATGTATATATTATATATAAAATTCATCCCGCCAAAGTGGCTAGTAAGAGTAATGTCAAGCCCTGATCCCAATAATTTATTTTATGTTAAAAATCTTTTTAATACCTGTCTGTGTAACTTCAGCCTCAGATGCAAAGGAGCGTCAGCACTGGGTCAGCCGACTGCAGATCTGTGCGCAGCACCACACGGAGGCGATGGGCAAGGTGAGAACGTACAACCAGACACCTGTAATACTGTAAAACCACCACTGCTCAGAAATGTGAAAATCGGTTTAAATTACAATACTGCAAAAACTGTAAGATTCTGTCATTTATTTATCATCATGTTGTTTGAAACCATTAAACTATCCCAACTTTCTTTAGATATCCAAAAACCAACCATTATTGACATCAAGTCTGGTATGATGTGAAAACCCTCCTATATATACAGTACATGTCAGACTAACATATTTTATTGGATTGTAATTTCTGTTCCTTGTTTTATTCTCTTCGTATCCTTGAAATGGTTTTTAATTGTCACATCAAATTTCCAGTGTTTCCGCAGGGTCTTAAAAAGTCTTAAAAACGGCCAGATTTTTATCTGAGGTCTTAAATTTGATTTAGTCAGGTCTGCAGAAACCCTGATACAATGCACATTGTTTAAAAGCAGCTTTACAGAAAACCATGATGTTAATGTATATAATATCTTTATGCCTTGTAGTTGTATTTAGCATATTGGAGCTGAGCAATAATATAGTCTACATTTTGCAACAATACGAGCAATCAAGCTGTGGAGATATTCTATGTAGTGTGTATATATATATATATGTATATATATATCGGCCTACGCAAGTATTCTGTATTTATGCATATAAAGTAGGACATTCTTATATATACAACTTTATATAAAGAGCTGGGCAATAATATAATTACATTTCACATTGATATAAACAAGCAGTTATATAGTATAGGATATGATATAGTATAATATAGTATATTTTACTTTACCTGAGTGTACATTATAAATTTAAATGCATATATATGTATTTATGTATGTGTATATATGTGTGTGTATATATATATATATATATATATATATATCGCAGAGAGATTTGCTAGTGTTTATATATATATACTGTATATATATATAGCTTTATGTGAGTATACTGTATTATACTGTATTTCCAACTTTTATTATATCTCTGGATTATAATATAGTTTTTATTTTTTTACTTTATACCAATCAAGCTAATCAAATAAATCTAAATTTTATGAAAAATGCATGTAAAATATCTTAGTATCTGTTTTAAATTTTGCTTACTCAAATTTAGTTTTCACTATGATGATGTGACTTTGCACTGCAAATTTGGTGTAAAGATGTAGCCGAGGTAAAGATAATCAGTGAATAATGACTTATATTTAGGATCTATTGATCACATAAAACCTCCGAAGACTTTTAATATAGCGTACAAATCGTAAGGAACACTTTTGTCTCTTGTGGGGCTTCGCAGTAAAAATCATCACCCGTTTTCTAGCATTTTGTAAAATAACAGAATTGGATCAAAATGTGGTAAATGATGATAAAATTGTCATTTATGTGTAAAGCTAATCCTTTCCGCAATGATCCATAATCCCACAGACAAACCCACCGCTTCAATCTCGCAGTCTCTCCATGGCATCTCAGGGCAGTGGCAGCTCTCCAGGATCTCAACACCGGATTAACCAGAACTCAAACGCCCTGTTGGGCCTGTCCCAGCTGCAGCGCGGCTCCTCGCTTTACTCCAGCAGGAAATCACTGCTGCCTGATCACTTGCTGGAGGCCAGAGAGGTAAGAATGAGTGATGCTTTTAGAGGCCCAGTGGCAGAGTCAATTAGTAACTTTAAAAACATGGGATCTGAACTTTTGAGGTGTTTACCGAATGTTTTTGTCCTGCTTCAGATGATGAGTCAGGCGCAGGGCCAGCACAGAGACCTGATCCAAAGTATTGAGGGTCTGCCCTCCTCTCAGGGTCCCTCTCCCTTGGACCAAGACCTGCTGCTGCTGAAAGCCACCTCTTTGGCCACTATGACCTGCCTCAGCGACTGCTTGCAAATCCTGCAGCTCCAACAAGTGGCTCGACAGAAAGTTCCTCTCGTTGGTGAGATTTCAAAAAACAATGTTTTATGGGGGGGTTATGGTTAAATGCTGAAAGAATTAGTTTACACATAAATGACAATTTAATCATTCTCATTATGAAAAGCTGATATTGATTCTTAAATCCTAAGAATAAAATAAATTCCATTTTGGCACTCTTTAATGTGACGTGACGGAGCACACATGAACTGATCATCTGTTCCACTTAACTACTAGTTACAGCACGAAATAAGCATGAATGAACATCAGAAGGTATGTTAAAAGGTGCAGTACAACTTACCGAAATCCATATCATGTCTCGTAATCGTTCGATGAGTGTTTCATACGGGGAAATATGTCAGCTCTTAAACACTGTCGCATAATGTTAGATTTACCTCGGAAAAGCCATTCAAAACTCATTAGTCAGTGTTAAAAATTAACTCTATAGAGGAGCATTTTGATAAATATATACACTATATTTGTATGTTCTTCAATATTTAATGTATTTTTGAAGGTGTTTATGACAGCCACCATTGAAATGATATATGTGTGTGTGTACATATATATATATATATATATATATATATATTATACACACTACCGGTCAAAAGTTTTAGATCAGTAAGATTTTTTATGTTTTTAAATGAAGTCTCTTGTGCTCACCAAGGATGCAATTATTTTATGAAAAAAAAAAAAATGACAAACAGTAATATTGTGAAATATTATGACAATTTAAAATGACTGTTTTCTATTTTAATATATTTTAAAATGTAATTTGAAAGCTGAATTTTCAACATCATTACTGTTCAGTTACACATCAGTTTTCAGTGTCGCATGATTCTTCAGAAATCAGTCTAATATGCTGATTTTATGCTCAAAAAACATAAATTATTATTTTCAATGTTGAAAACAGTCGTGTACCATTCCCCCCCCCAAAAAAAATTCTATGATGAATAGAAAGTTCAAAAGAACAGCATTTATTTAAAATATAATCTTTTCTAACATTATAAATGTCTTTACTGTAACTTTTGATCAATTTAACTCATCCTTGATGAATAAAAGTATTTTCTAATTTCTTTCCCCCAAAAATAAAAAATAAATTCTTACTGACCCCAAACTTTTGAATGGTAGTGATTAATGTTACAAAAGCTTTCCATTTCAGATCAATTCTGTTCTTTTGAACTTTCTATTCATCAAAGAATCCTGAAATAAAAATGTAAAAAACTGTTTTCAACATGGATAATAATTATAAATGTTTCTTGAGCATCATATTATAATAATTTCTGTAGGATCATGTGACAATGAAGACTGGAGTAATGATGCTGTAAATTCCCCTTTGATCACAGGAATAAATAACACTTCAATATATATTTACATATAAAACCGCTGTTTTAAATTGTAATAATATTTCACAATATTACTGTTTTTTTTTTTGTATTTTTTTATCAAATAATTGCAGCCTTGGTGAGCAGAAGAGACTTCTTTTAAAAGCATAAAAAATCTTACCGATCTAAAACATTTGACCGGTAGTGTATATATATATATATATAATTTTATTTATTTTTAATTAGTAGTAGAAACAAGAAAAATGTGTAATTAGGTACACAATGCTTGACATCTGGCTCTGTCTGGCTTTTTGCCTCTGTCAGGCTCTTTTAATCGTAGACCTGATTTTACTCTATACTTTGTCTAATGCTACTGCAGTGCTTAGATGTTAAGTGAAAGCATTTCTCTTCCAGTAAAAGACAGTAAGAGGGTTATTTATAAGCACGGCTTCCATCACAGGAATTCTTCTGGACTTGTGCTGGTCGCATGCGTATCTGATTTTCTTGACAAGATTATACCTCTAAATTGGCAGCATATCCTACTTTTAGTTTTTAGTAACTTTCTTTATTACGTTCTAGTTTTGTTAAGTTCGCAAGTGTGTGCAGAACTCGACACAAGGTTTTGCATATCTTCCCATGTTTGTTTTTTGTTTTTGTTTTTTTAATGGCGGATATTGCAATCTAGAGATCACAGTGACCAATAATGCGATATTTTACAATTAATTATTACACATAAAATTGTACAGAAAATGTGCAGTAGAGCAAAACTGTTGGTAGGTTTTGCCATTGCCCACTTTTGTTTATCTGCCAATCGGGCATAGATATTAGATATTTATCTTAAAAGAGACCAAATATTCACTGGTTAATTGTCCTGGGCTGCATTGCCGAAAAATATTATAAGCCTAAGTAGATCGTAGAGATCATTGACGCCAATAATATGTATAATCTGTGCAGGCTTATGATGCTTTTAGGAAATGCAGCACTGGCTGATTTAACAGTCTGTTTTCAAATTCATCGATTTGGCACATCATGATTTATGTTAAACGGAGCAAGTACAGCCTTCCTTTTTGTTGAATACTCTCCTGGTGTAGAGTTTGTGTATTGGCTGTCGAAATGCAATCCAAAGATGAATAATGTAAACTTTTAGATAACCACAAATACTCTCCTTCTCCAAATCCGCTATCAGACAGTTATTGAATACTTAAATCACATATTCACTGCGACTCACTGATCCATATGTGTAATCCAGGTCAATGCGATAAGATCAAATAAGTCTTTCTGCTCACATCACAGTGTCATGTGTACCAAAAATAACCAATAGCTGAACAGCAAAAAAGGTATTTCATTTTCCATTACATGATAGTACAGAAAAACCACAAGTGTTTGTGGTCAAAAATCCAATAATCTCAGGTCATGTTTGTGCCTGTAGAATTTATGACCTGGAGCCCTGCTTAGCGAGTGGAATATTGTTTTATAATTAATGAGGAACTGTATCCACCACTGATAGACTTCTTCAGGTAACTAGAGCTCTGCTGGCGTCACTCAAGCGCAGCGGTTGACAGACTTGCCAAATTGTGTTACCGTACTGTTGTCAGTTCTTGGATAAATATTTCTCCTGTGAGATTTGCGTGTTTGGGGGTTCTTCTTGAACTAACATTTATTTTGCCAAACCGAAGACTTCTAGTTGTGTGCTTGACTCGTTCATGAAGCATACATATTTGATTACTCTCTCTAAACATCATCACACACTTCCAGTATCACCTGCATTGCCACTGTTTTGTTGAAGTAGTGAGGGACCATGTGAACTTTCAGAACTTCTTAATGACTGGAACAAAGCCAAAACCACCAATAGGCAAACAAGTCATCAATGGGCAGGGCCTCGTGCAGACGGTGAGACCCTGTTCTCAGGTTTCCACTGAGAGCTCTGTGTCAGTTGTCGGAGCGCTATACACCCAGAAATCCTGTGGCGTTAGAGGCTGCTGTTGGCCTGTCGGCATCGTGCTGGTGGGCCGGTGATATGAGCACCCCTGAGACTGGTTTTGTGTGCCCTGTAGGCCCTGCCCTCGAGTGGCTGGAGCCAAAACTGCCGGACATCCTGAAGAATGGAGGGACGCTGCCCAGCATCACCAAAGGTGATGGTAACACGGTGGGAACCGTTCTGGAACCTTTAGAAATGGACTCCTGTGATATCGCTGGGGTAAGTAATCAATAAGATCCTTATTGATTAATCGCGATTAATCCCATCCAAAATAAAAGTTTGTGTTTACATAATATATGTGGGTGCACTGTGTATAATTATTTTGTAAATATATAAATAAACACACATGCTTGTATATATTTAAGAAATATTTTTTATGTATATACTGTGTATAGATTTATAGAATTTATATTATATATAAATATAAATATTTTATATATAAATAGTATATTTTTCTTAAATATACATGCATGTGTGTGTATTTTTATATATATATATATATATATGTATACAAAACAATTATACACAGTGCACCCACATATATTATGTATACACAAACTTTTATTTTGGATGTGATTAATCACGATTAATCGTTTGACAGCCCTTTATATATAAAATATTTATATTTCTATATAAAATAAATTGTATATAAATCTATATACAGTATATACATGAAAATATTTCTGAAATATATATACAAGCATGTATGTGTACAGTATTATAAAATAATTATACACAGTGCAACCACATATGTTATGTAAACACAAACTTTTATTTTGGATGCGATTAATCGTTTGACAGGCCTACATTGATCACACTTGACTTAATATTTAAAGTTTAAAAAGTATGGGATCTAAAGGGGTTGTCCAAATTAAATGTGAGATCTGAGCTTGTTTTAGATTACACACATTTTTGATTAATTTCAGGATGGCTGCTTTGGATTGCTCTGGTCAAATATTCTATTCACAAAAACGAGTTTGTTCACTTAAAGTGCACTTAAGTATATGTTCGAGTATCATTGTGTTAGATAACAAAATATCAAACCATGTGGTATCTGCAAACAAATTATGCTTTTCTCAGAACTCACAAGGTTTTTGTGGTTTATTTTCGTGGTTAAATTACGTTTCAAACATCAGGTGTCCTACAATAGCAGTGTAATCACTAGTATAGTGCCTTGAACTCACACCATTGGTTTAGCCAGTGCTGTTATTTTGGGCTTCAGCTGTGTTTTGGTAGCACCACAGACGCACTGTTTACACTTTACTACAAAAGTGACAGCAAAAACTTGTCAAATTGTTACAAAAAACAAATAAATGCTGTTCATTTGAACTGTCTATGCAGTACATCATGAATCCCAAAAAATTAACAGCTTCCACAAAAAAAATAAGCAACAGATCTTTGTGCAACATTGATGATAAGAAGAAATGATTCTTGAGCAAATCAGCAGATTAGAAGGATCATGTGACCCTGAAGACTCAAGTAATGCTGAAAATGTAGCTTTGCTATGACAGGAATGAATTGCATTATAATAAATAAATAAATAAATAAATAAACATTTTAATTGTAATTATATTTAACAGCTGTTTTTATTGCATTTTTTATCTAATAAATCCGGCTTTTGTAAGTATAATAGATGTCTTTCAAACATTTTTGAACAGTTTATATTAGTGTTTTAACATTGTAAGAATTGCATACTTCAGCTTTATCTATGGACATTTTCCATTTCGTAACCAGAAAGTGTATGAATTTGAAAATGATTTGTCTTCGTTTTAATCAGTATATTTATTTTTTTTATCTTTTTAAAAACGTATTGTGAATTGTTTGGCTTAAAAAGTGTGCTATCTTTGTTTTATAATAAAAAATACACTTGGTTTGATATTTTGTTATATAATGCATGTATAATATATAAAATTAATTCATGCATTTGGACATTCACAAAAGTATGTCTACATTTTCCAAATTTGAGACCTCCGTATGTTATCACAGCAACACAATTGTGCATTAATGTGTTCATAGCAGATGCTGATGATAATTACTGACAACTGATATTGTTTTGGAGAAGACTGTCGGACTTCTGTCTCAAGAGTAATCTTTGCTTCAGTTACCTTGATGTAAACAAACACCTGAGCCTCACTGATTGTTGAACTGTAGACAGGGCTCCCTATTAACCTGAATAAATTTGTCTACAGTGTTGAATGTTAACTATGCTGTATGTTTTTTTTGTTCTTCTAAATACTATATTTTGCTTTAATTAACTGTACCCTTGCATCCACTTTATTTTACATTATGTAATGTAATAATCATTAGTGGTATTAGCTGAGGCAGGCAGAACCTATGGTTTTGATTTAAACAAACCAAAACGTAACTTGCCCACATGTACAAATGATGCTTCAGATTGTGAAGCCTGTTGGGATAGCTGTGCTCTTACTTATTTTACTGATCAATTTTATGAATTTCATGGTAAAATGGGAGAAAAATTTGAAAATTACATCCAAGGAAGGACTTGAGCCATAACTTGGGGACAGAAAATCATAGAGTAAAAGTTCATGCAATACTTGGTAATACCATATGATTTCCAACAATGGCAAAGTTATAAAAGCTATTAAAATCTTAGAAATTATGTTCCTTTCTATATTTTTTAAAGCTCTAAAATATTTAATCAGCCCAAAATTGCACACTGTGAAATGTTGATTTAAAATATCAACATTATTTATTTATATATATATATATATATATATATTATTTGAGTCTAATTTATGTATAATTATAGTATTTATTGGTATATTTTTATTTTATATTTTTAGTTTTCATTTTAATTTAAGTTTTAGATGATTAAGATAATTAATCAAGCCTTTGCCTCTATAAAATGTAAAACAAAAAAAACATCCAGTAGTTTTGGTCAAAAGGTGTAGAAACCCTGTAGAGAGGGTCCCAAAAACTAGTTCTGTCCTTGCAGTATTTGATTGGTTGAGTAATCATGGAGTTTGGTGTGTGTTTCAGGAGCAGGAGGAGATTGATGCCACGCAGGAGGTAGACGACTCCTCTCCAGTCGAGGAGGAGGATCTGGGTGCTGTCGAAGAGGAGCGCAGCGTCATTCTGCACCTCCTCTCTCAGCTGAAACTGGGCATGGACCTCACCAGGGTATATCAGCTCCATCTCGTTAATGGCTTCTTGTGTCTTTCCCAAACCTCACAGAAAAGTTTAAATCACACCATTTTAAATGAATTCTGTTATACAAATTAAATAAGATTGTGAAATAAGAGTGTTTCAAATGGGTGTATAGGTGGTCCTGCCTACTTTTATACTGGAGAAGCGCTCCCTGCTGGAAATGTATGCAGACTTCATGTCCCATCCGGACCTTTTCGTGGCCATCACCGATGGCACCAGCCAGATGGACCGCATGGTCCGATTTGTGGAGTATTACCTCACTTCCTTCCATGAAGGTCGCAAAGGTGCCATTGCCAAGAAGCCCTACAACCCCATCATCGGAGAGACCTTCCACTGCTCTTGGAGAGTACCCAAAGCGTCATCATCTCCGACAGGTGTCCCGAAAGAGGGGACGTCGGACTGCTACAATGTTCGCTTTGTGGCTGAACAGGTTTCCCATCATCCCCCGGTCTCGGGCTTCTATGCAGAATGCCAGGAGAGGCAGATGTGTGTCAACACTCATGTGTGGACCAAAAGCAAGTTCATGGGCATGTCCATTGGCGTCTCTATGATCGGAGAAGGTGCGTTTCGCCCGCCTCACACTCAGTTTACTTTGAACGTTTCCATGGGTCCATTGTTGATTATTAGGAATGTTAACTTCCTGTGCTCGCAGGTAATCTACACCTATTAGAGCATGATGAAGAATACACCTTTAGTCTGCCCTCTGCTTATGCCCGCTCGATCCTCACTGTGCCCTGGGTGGAACTGGGAGGAAAGGTCAATGTCAACTGCGCCAAGACTGGCTACTCTGCAGTCATCACCTTCCAGACAAAGCCTTTCTATGGGGGCAAGCTGCACAGGTCAGGATCACACTGGATCACATTACGTGACTCCATTTTCCATCTCTTTGAGACCGTATAGGGTTTTCAATGTAAATTTAGACAACAGACTGAGTAAATGGCTGCTGAAAATTCATCACAAGGATAAATATATATTTTAAAAAAAACTTTATCCTGAATTGTAATGTTTCACAATATTTTTTACTGTAGTTTTTGATCAAATAAATGCAGCCTTGGTGAGGATAAACTGTTATGTAAATGTCCATATTATATATTTAATTAAAGTTAGGTTATAAAATATTCATCTGCATGTTAGTTCACAGTGCATTAACCAATGTTAACAGATCTTAAAAATGTATAAGTAAATGTTGAGATTTCAATGAACTATATTATTTGTATAAACTATATAATAATATAAATAGAAAATATGGTAATATAAACTAATATTTTACAGATTAATTAATGCTGTAGATGTTAAATGTTAGTTCATGTTAACAAATGAAACCTTATTGTAAAGTGTTACCCAAAACAATACATTCAATAAGAAAAATGTAGGGGAAACTTTAACCATCTGTAATGATTTTCCACCATTTCTTCACCCTGGGAATTAAACTGGCTGTGTTTTGGGCCTGTGCCATTAAAATTTCAACGAAAACGCCCACATAGGGCCTGTTTTCACCTGAACACTCAATGTGTTTTTACTGATCGGATAGCTATCTGATTTGTTAAAACGGTTCCATATACACATAAATGTCCCCAGTGCAAAACGAATATAAATCTGATCTTCATTTCCCGCTCTGTGCAAATTTAGCGGCGTTCGCGTCAACGAAAGCGCCAGATATAGCTGCATTTTATTTATCATCAGCTAATTTCAAGGTCAATCGTTGTAGGAGAGAGAGGCATCATCATTGGTAAGATCATTTAGTCTCACTACTTTTAATGAAGATGATTGTGTTTTGAGCGTATGCGGCAGTTTGTACGCCGGCTTGCTGAAAAGATGCTTAGCATCTGCAGCGAGCGTGTTCATATCCGGCTATAACATGTAATATAGCCTAAAACATTTTGGGAGATGCAAAATTTACATTTGTGGTTTCAACAACCAGATATATTTAAAATTCATTTGAGATGCGTCTCAAACCACCTCCTGAAGTCTGGAAAGCATTTCGGAGGGCATTTACACCTGTTTTTTTCACAATCGGATCCGATTGACCAGGTGTAAACAGCCCCATTGACAGGTTATGAGTTTGCTATAGAGAAATATTATTTCCTATGTGTCTTCGATCAATGCCACTGCTTATACATGATTAATTTTAAATGAGGTACAGAGACTTCCTTACATAACTTTCAATCATGAAAGATACATTTTTATTGTATGTATAAATGTCAAAAACAAAACGTATCTTTCATGATTATAAGTTATGTAAGGAAAGCTCTGGAACTTATGTAAAATTAACAAAATTGTGTATAAGCAGTGACATTGATGAAATGCACACAGAAAAATAATATTTCGCTAACAGTCTAATATAGTTTGCACTGCTCTATCACATTGTGACAGGTTCACAAATATCAGACCGATTATTAACCGATATATTTTAGATAAATGGCAAGAAGAGTGGAATATGTGCAAGAATAATAAGTTGTATGAAATTCATCCGGAAATAGTATCAATTTTAAAACTAGATTTGATCAAGTGGTCTACACCAGATGCCGTATGGGTCATTCAAGTTTGACCCATGCTTTTTTGCATAAAGGTGAAGACCAAACTTATGTATGTTTTGTAAAATTCCCTTATCTGTCAAACATTTTTTATTAGATTGTCCTGGACTTAACGCAAGTAGAATGCTCTTTTATGAAGTTACTTGTTTGAAGGACATATTTAATAAAATTATGCCTGAAAAGGTTCTGTATTTTTTTTTTATCATATGTTAATTAAAAAAATATATTGTATAATATGACTACTTGTTTATATTTGTTTTGTTTTTGTTGTATTCATATGATATTTGTATTTTTGTAAATTAATTCTTGCCATGAGAATAGCTTTGACTGCTGACATGGCATGAAATAAAAATAATCTGAATCAGGTTCACAAAACAATCTAGCAAAGATCAGACAGAAATGATTATGGACCTTGTAAAAATATTTTCACGTGGCCATGTGAAGGACACCCTCTGATTCTATGCAAATGAAGCTGCCAACTGCAACTGGCTAAACCATTGGCTAGACGTCTGCCCTAGTATCAGTCAATGGTCTTTTTGGACAGTTGAGGAAATTGAGTTACAGTTTTTTACAGTAGTACAATAGGTTAGTAGTAGTACAATAGCGACAGATCTTTACTCCCATACTGTGACGTACATCTGAGTGAAACAGATCATAGAACAAAAGAATAAATGTAGGGAAGGGACTTGGTTCTATCCATCGGTTGTTGATTGGCTGAAGGTTAAATGGGTTTCTTGGTGGTATGAGTGCTTTAGTCAGAAAGCCGAGCCAGTGGACTGTAACAGAAGCCTGTGCTTTGTTCCTCAGAGTGAACGCGGAGGTCAAACATAACCCCACCAACTCCGTGGTGTGCCGCGTGCAAGGCGAGTGGAACGGCGTGCTGGAGTTTTCCTACACCAGCGGAGAGACACGTGTCGTAGACGTCACCAATCTCCCCGTCACCAGAAAAAGAGTACGGCCCAATGAGCTGCAAGGACCCTACGAGTCCAGGTAACACCAGTTAATCAGTTTATCAGCATTCAAGCCACACAACAGTGTTAATGTCAATATGATGGCACATTTTTAAAGGGCCAAAATGAACACCACACTACTAATTTTCATAAAAATATAACCTTTTAGTTTAATCTAAAGGAATACTTTAAAAAACTATATAATGAAGGACTCAGAAAGAAGGATAGGTGGGTTTGAAATAAGATTAACTGTAACCTAGGGATGGGCAACAATTAATCGCGATTAATCGCATCCAAAATAAAAGTTTGTGTTTACATAATATATGTTTGTATGGTGTGTATAATTAATTTGTATATATAAATACCCACACATGCATGTATATATTTAAGAAATATGTGCATGTATATATTTTATATATATTTATTCACAATTAATATTATATATAAATATAAATATGTGATATATTAATAACACATTTTTCTTAAATATATACATGCATGTGTGGGTATTTATATATACAAATTAATTATACACACCATACAAACATATATTATGTAAACACAAACTTTTATTTTGGATGCGATTAATCGTTGCCCATCCCTAAACAGAATTGGGTTTTTTTTGGATCAAATATTCATTTAAGGGAAAATTTCATGATTTTATCATGTCTTGCTATCTGTGGATTCGGACTGAAAAAGGTTTAATGTGATGTGAGGGCTCCATCTTTAACCTGTGACTCTTCTCCCTGTAGGAGACTGTGGCAACATGTGACCGAGTCTCTGAAGGATAGGGATATGGAAAAGGCCACGGAACACAAGCGCTTCCTGGAGGAAAGACAGAGGAAGGAGGAGAGGCATCGTGCAGAGACACAGACACCATGGAGGACCAAATACTTTGAGCGCAAAGTAAGAACACATCTGAATCTTATTTTTTAAAATCATATAATCATTTCTACATAAAATAGTAAATAAGTGTCGGCGGCTCCTTAAAAAGTCTTAAATTAAGTTTTCCTAATAGAGGTATTAATATGTCGGTAACGCTTCCTTTTACACTCCAGTTACCCATGTAAATACTATGCACTTATTTTAGTAACTACAATTACTGGGTAATAACTAGTACTAACCCTGAACCTACCTCTAAACCTACCCCTGTTCCATGTACTTACCTTATATTAGCCAATACTTTCTAGGTAAGTACACTGTAAGTACTGTAAAGGAAGCGTTACCAATATGTCTTCATTTTAAATTTAGATTCGATTGGCCTTAAATTTTTTTAGGCACATTTCCGCTAAAATTTTTCCAGCCTGACGGACACCATGTCTGTTTACAATCATTGGACAGACCGAAGATTTTTTTCCCATGGTAGTTGGTAGTTACTGCGTCTTCAGAGAGAATTGAGGTAGCAGAATACAGGCCGAACTACAGCTAGCTGACCAGCCTCCTTGCTATAAACGATGAGTTGTCATGGTGGTTGAAGCCTGTGCCTGACAATGTGCATTAAGGGAAACTGCGCCGTTTGTCTCTCAGAGATGTTTTTAACTCTGTAGCGTGTAATGGGCATTATTAAAGGTGCTCTAAGCGATGTCGCACGTTTTTTAGGCCAAAACATTTTTTCTCACTGTTTGCTGTATTTTTTCTCACATACATTTCGCACAATTTTATCTATTCTAAATGTCTCTTGATTTCTTTTTTGTCCCATTATTTTTTTTCTCATTTTAATGCTTTTATCAACATGGAAAAGTGGATCGGCTTGCTTTGTGCAAATGTTCTTTATTGAAAACAGCATTGGCATATACTGTGTTCAATTTCACACTTACGTTCTCACTTGGACAAATAATCTCTTAATGTAACACTGTCCATCAATAAAAGGGTGAAAGAAATACTGACGAGGTCCTGATATTGACGAGGGGGCGGAGAATTCGCATCAGCTGTGTGTGTGTGTGTGTGCTTGGCCATCATCAAGTGGTATTTCAGACTGGACGTGCTGTGATTATGATAGCTCAGTTCACAACGACAAAACACACAGATCACTTTGGTCTTGTCAATGGGACCATTTGGCAACTTTTTAAAAGTAAACTTTCCATTCAGAATCTTATTGGCATCCATTTCGGCGTCTCGCGCTCGTCATCCACGCAAAACGTAACGTTAACCAACTATTTGGCCGTCTCGCACACCTAAACAAGTGTGTGCGGCATGCCTGTTGTTTTGTTTCCGGTCAAGCTAGATCCGCTTTCGCTTTGGTCGACGTAGCAACAAAACGTCTTCGCACGTCACAAGCCATTGAAATTAACGTGTTTCGTAGCGCAGCGCCACGCACGCCACATCCTGTTGCAAAACAATGTGGAAAAACTACAACGTTTGCTAGGCCAAAAAGAGCATTAATCGCGCGATTAAAAAAAAATTGACGCCTTTAAAATGGGTTTGTGTTATCGCCGTTAATAACGCGTTTAACTGACAGCCCTAGTATGTACTAATGCTTTTGCAAACTCTTCTAACTCAAGCTTTCCAACTGGTAGTTCTTGAAAGAGATCTTAACTTAACTGTTCATTTGTGAAGATTACCATGATGAACTTTTGTTGGTTAGAGTTTATTTTCTGTAATAATCCAAATGCTGGTAGACAGTGTTTTTGTCGAGAGAACCTCACTTTTTTTTCTCTTTCAGGGTGAAAGCTGGGCGTATTACCAACCACTGTGGAAAACGGCAACTCATAGCTCTTCCCCGGTTCCCACTCCTCAAAATCCATGACCTCTGACCTTTTAAGAGCTGAGTTCAGGCACTGTACAGCCTCCTGCTATTGTAAACCTCTGGCCCTGTGTTCCCTCTCTCACAGATGAAGACATACACTCTCCTTTGTATGATTCCTGAAACATAACTTCAACTTGAGTGTTTGTAATGCTTTGTGGACTTGCGGGTTTGCACTCTGATGTTCATATTTTGCATCCCTCGGTGGTAAGGTTTTTGTAGAACTACACAGTGAACGATTTCTCCAAATCTGCGCACTGATATTCTTTGTTGATGTTGCCTTAACAAGTGTCGTATGTAACGAGAGCTGAGTACAGCCTGACGGTTCTTAATGTGGGTTTGTGTTTGGGGTGAACTTCTTAATCTGACCATACTGTATTTGTACAGTCAAAGATTTCCGATTCTTTTAAAATCATTTATGAATTATCATTATTTAAATATCTAATGAAATGCAGGATTAGGGGAGTTAAAAAAAAAAACAGTTGCGTCAATAACTGGCGAAGATGTGAGTTGTTATTGCTTAGCGGAGCCAGACGCAGCTTGAGTTTTGATGAGAGAGAAGCCGTTGGCTTGGCTTTTCTATTATGCTGTCTTTTTCTCGTACTTGCTCTGGTAAATGAGGCTTGCAGGTGCTATACACAAAATCTGGGCCGGATTAAAATGTTCGGGTAGAGGCCTGCTCTTCTGTTTCTGCTTGATGTTCATTGAACAGTTACGTTGGCTTCAGTTTCAGAGATTTTAAAGGGATAGTTCACCCCAAAATGTAAGTTTTGTCCTCATTTACTCACTTAACGTCTGTATGACTTAAAAATCCATACAATGAATGTCAATGGCGTCCAAAAACTTTGGACTTTTGGAAAGGTCATAAAGGTTTGGAACAACATTACTCACCCTGTTCAATGTAGTCTAGATGACTTGTGCTCTATATTACAAGTCTTCAGGTGTCATCTGATGAGTTGTGAGGTACTGACAGAAATTTAAGCTGTTTACTGCTATCATTAAATATAATTTGCTCTGTTAATTTCAACAGCTTCTAAGATTTCGGTTGGCCCTGCTGAAAAAAAACAACCCAACTAGGTTCAGAAGTTTTATAGAGCACTTATATGGTGTTTTTCTATATATGAGGTACAGTATAAGTCACAATTCATTTTGTTTTGTATGGAAAAGAGAAGCTTGGGCATTCTGTTTGACAACTCCTTTTGTATTTCATGGAAAATCGGATGAGTAAATGAAGCCAAAGTTTTCATTTTTGCAATCAGATGCGTTTATAGCATGTGTTCCTTGCTGAAGGTTCAGGTTTTAGTTTGCTGGTCATGATAGTAAGGTTTTTCGTTTGTAATTTTGTGTTCAAAAGCTTCATCGTTTGATCTGCCAGCTGAGGACAGTTGCAGTGATGGTGCTGGCTAAAGTGTTACGTCTCTCTCATATAATCTCTGCTTCAGCCCTGGCATTGGTTGCGCTGAGAAACTTGTGGTGCCTTATTTGTGTTAGTCTTCCTCTCGTTCCACATCACAGCCGTCAGCTTTCTCATTAAAACAGAGTAAGACGGAAGCCGCAGCCTTTGTATATATAGGTATCTTCTGTAATTTTCGTTCATCAGCTGTGCTTTCCACTCAAGTCATTCTGCTGAGCCATCGACTGCACTGATGTTTTAAATACACTCCCTGTAGCCTCAGAACATATGATTGAAAAAAATAAAAGGGTTAATATATTGGAGGATTTCGGATTGTTTTTCATGTGTGTCCATGTGAGTAGATGCAAATATCTTACAGTAACTCGCATATAAATGAAGATCCATGGGTAGTTGAAATGTGCCGTGACACGGATTTTGCTCATTTGATTATAGTTATTTATACAGGTATATGACCTTATTTTAAAGGAGCTGTATGCAAGATTGTGGCCAAAACTGGTACTGCAATCACTTTCAAATTAGGGTGTATCCCCCCCCTTACCCCCTAGACTCGAGGTTGCAAGATATGTTGCAGGATCCAGCAGGAACGTAGGCTTCTTCAAGAAGCTTCCAATGGCAAGTGACGAGTCCTACACAGTGAGTTTTTTTCTGTTAATTATTAATTTCGGACTTTGTAACAAAGTATTTCGGATTCATATAGAATTTTGGGGGTTTCACAACGTTAGAATTTTTTTTATCCGATTCCGACATGTTTGTATCTGCAGCTGTGGTAACTAGAGAAGAGCTGGCAACCCGAATGCCGCAACACTACTGAGTCCGTGATTGGTAGATCGGTGGAGGGTGACGCATCAGAACAAAACACAACTTGACAACATCAACATCAGTCAAGGGCTGCGACTTCAATTTTAAAATGACAATATCCTGGCTGGACTACTGTTGTCAGTGATATAAGTATTTGAAATGAACATGATTTCTTAATGTCTAGTGACATATCAGGGAAAATGTATGATTAATTGAAATAAATTTCTTGCATACAGCTCCTTTAATTTTAATTCACACATGGAATATTTTGTACTTCATGAATTTAGATTTTTTTTTCACATTTCAGGACTATTTATACGGAGCCCCCCTAGTCCCACTTTGGCCAAAAAAATTAATTATAACTATCTCGTGGCCTCAAGACATTAACTCGTGGCCTCAAGATATTAACTCGTGGCCTCAAGATATTAACTCGTGATATTAACTCGTGGCCTCAAGATATTAACTCGTGGCCTCAAGATACTAACTCGTGGCCTCAAGATAGTAACTCGTGGCCTCAAGATAGTAACTCGTGGCCTCAAGATATTAACTCGTGGCCTCAAGATACTAACTCGTGGCCTCAAGATATTAACTCGTGGCCTCAAGATATTAACTCGTGGCCTCAAGATGGTAACTCGTGGCCTCAAGATGGTAACTCGTGGCCTCAAGATGGTAACTCGTGGCCTCAAGATGGTAACTCGTGGCCTCAAGATAGTAACTCGTGGCCTCAAGATATTAACTCGTGGCCTCAAGATGGTAACTCGTGGCCTCAAGATGGTAACTCGTGGCCTCAAGATGGTAACTCGTGGCCTCAAGATAGTAACTCGTGGCCTCAAGATAGTAACTCGTGGCCTCAAGATATTAACTCGTGGTCTCAAGATGGTAACTCGTGGCCTCAAGATATTAACTCGTGGTCTCAAGATGGTAACTCGTGGCCTCAAGATACTAACTCGTGGCCTCAAGATACTAACTCGTGGCCTCAAGATAGTAACTCGTGGCCTCAAGATATTAACTCGTGGCCTCAAGATATTAACTCGTGGCCTCAAGATATTAACTCGTGGCCTCAAGATACTAACTCGTGGCCTCAAGATAGTAACTCGTGGCCTCAAGATATTAACTCGTGGCCTCAAGATATTAACTCGTGGCCTCAAGATAGTAACTCGTGGCCTCAAGATATTAACTCGTGGTCTCAAGATGGTAACTCGTGGCCTCAAGATAGTAACTCGTGGCCTCAAGATATTAACTCGTGGCCTCAAGATAGTAACTTGTGGCCTCAAGATATTAACTCGTGGTCTCAAGATAGTAACTCGTGGCCTCAAGATACTAACTCGTGGCCTCAAGATATTAACTCGTGGCTCAAGATAGTAACTCGTGGCCTCAAGATGGTAACTCGTGGCCTCAAGATACTAACTCGTGGCCTCAAGATATTAACCCGTGGCCTCAAGATAGTAACTCGTGGCCTCAAGATAGTAACTCGTGGCCTCAAGATACTAACTCGTGGCCTCAAGATACTAACTCGTGGCCTCAAGATAGTAACTCGTGGCCTCAAGATATTAACTCGTGGCCTCAAGATAGTAACTCGTGGCCTCAAGATAGTAACTCGTGGCCTCAAGATATTAACTCGTGGTCTCAAGATGGTAACTCGTGGCCTCAAGATACTAACTCGTGGCCTCAAGATATTAACCCGTGGCCTCAAGATACTAACTCGTGGCCTCAAGATAGTAACTCGTGGCCTCAAGATATTAACTCGTGGCCTCAAGATACTAACTCGTGGCCTCAAGATAGTAACTCGTGGCCTCAAGATAGTAACTCGTGGCCTCAAGATATTAACTCGTGGCCTCAAGATACTAACTCGTGGCCTCAAGATAGTAACTCGTGGCCTCAAGATATTAACTCGTGGCCTCAAGATAGTAACTCGTGGCCTCAAGATATTAACTCGTGGCCTCAAGATGGTAACTCGTGGCCTCAAGATATTAACTCGTGGTCTCAAGATAGTAACTCGTGGCCTCAAGATATTAACCCGTGGCCTCAAGATGGTAACTCGTGGCCTCAAGATATTAACTCGTGGCCTCAAGATATTAACTCGTGGCCTCAAGATGGTAACTCGTGGCCTCAAGATATTAACTCGTGGTCTCAAGATAGTAACTCGTGGCCTCAAGATAGTAACTCGTGGCCTCAAGATATTAACTCGTGGTCTCAAGATAGTAACTCGTGGCCTCAAGATATTAACTCGTGGCCTCAAGATATTAACTTGTGGCCTCAAGATAGTAACTCGTGGCCTCAAGATAGTAACTCGTGGCCTCAAGATAGTAACTCGTGGCCTCAAGATAGTAACTCGTGGCCTCAAGATGGTAACTCGTGGCCTCAAGATGGTAACTCGTGGCCTCAAGATGGTAACTCGTGGCCTCAAGATAGTAACTCGTGGCCACAAGATAGTAACTCGTGGCCTCAAGATAGTAACTCGTGGCCTCAAGATACTAACTCGTGGCCTCAAGATATTAACCCGTGGCCTCAAGATACTAACTTGAGGACCATTTAAAATAATCCAGGCAAAGGCAAATCTTGAGAAACCCTTTCTGCCTTAGTGTAAAAAAATAATAAAAAGGGTAATGGGCTTTATGCACAGCTGCACTACTTCCTGAACTTCAGCCAGCTCCTTGTTTCCTGTCTGCCATTATTGGGCAAAATTGATTAATTCAGGTGTGTCTGATTATTGTTGCCATGACTACTGAGGTCAAGCACACCTGAATTAATCAATGTGTCCAATAATGGCAGAGAGGAAACAAGGAGCTGGCTGAAATTCAGGAAGTAGTGAAGCTGTGCATAAAGCCAATTGTGACATCACATAATTGTGACTTTATTTTTCATAATGTGAAAAATATCTCAAAATTGCAACTTCAATGCAATGTCAATGCAACCTTATTTCTCATAATTTCAACTGTTTCTTGTGATTGCGACTTTATACCTAATTTTGACTTAATATATCACAATTTGTCACTTTCTCACAATTACCATTTTTTCATAGGCAGAAACAGGTTTTCATACATTAACAGTGATTTAAAAAAAGGTGAAAATAACATACTGCACCTAAAATATACAGTTTCCTTTTAATACTGTATTAATGTACACTACCATTAAAGTATGCAATATGCAGTTTTGGAGAAAGTAAGATGTTATTTAATTTTTTTATATATATATCTCACTGACCCGAACTGTAGTGTAAAAATATAACCCAAAAAAAGTCACGTTATGCATATATATATTTTATGTAGTGATTACTGTACAGCTGTGAAGCCAGTTCACACAAGGAATGGGCAAAATGACTCAACACATCTCTGTTTGCTTCATCTTCAGTAATGGAAAAAGCATGACAGGTTGCCATATGTTCATGTTGACATTCTCACAGAAAGTATTTATCTCCATCAGTTCTTTTTCCAGTGTGCAATCTGGTATGAATTTTCCCTGTCCTCAAAGTAGCTCTGTAGAATTTGGGTGAACCTCAGATTGCTTAAAAAAGTAAAAAAAAACAAAAAAAAAAAAAAAAAAAAAAAACACTAGACTAGTCAGTCTCATGCTTTTCTCTAACAAATCATTAGCTTATTGAATCCCATTGACCATCAGAAGCGAGTCTGAGGAATCTTTTAAAAGTTCAAATTAGAATAAGCTAATTGATTATCATCAAAGTCTAGAATGAACAGGATGTTCCTTAACTTCTGAAGTAGGATGTTGCTAATCCCAGATAAAAAGCCTTGATGTAGTTGTCATTTAATTAAAGTAATCAGCTAGCTAAGTGGTTAAAAAGGGTCAGTGCAAAGAAACTCATTCAGAGCAAAAGGAACATAAGGTCTTTTTATGTCTAAAAACAGAAGTGTATCGTCTTTTTGAGTCTGCGGTTAATCAAATTGAAGTCCCCCAAAACCCAGTTTATGGGAAGATCACGTGGATTTCATAAGTGAGTGAGTCAGAAAGAGCAATGGAAAATTTTAAATCAGAAAATGATGTGTGGTAAACATTTTTGGGAAAACATTTTCGGAAGACTGGCGCACTTCTCAACTCTCTGCCACGTACGCTCAGCTTCTCTCCACCTGCAATGGCTTTATTTTTATTTACTTTTTGTAGTTGCTTTATAGCACAAAGCAGCTTTGAGAAATTTTCGTTTCGCCTTCAACCTTTACAACATTATACAAGAAAATAATGATATTTTAGAACGCAAACCCTCCTTTGTCCGTCGGTTCAGATTAGTGTTTAAAGAAAAACGGAGACCAGCTCCACATAGCGAATCAATATGCATTACAAGAATCAGTCTTGATTTTTCCAGACAGGTCACATTTGACTCGGTTGCCTGGAGGAAACGGAGATCTGCGTGTCAGCTGTAACATGCGGACAGATGCCAGTGCTGTGGTCCGTGCAGGGAGGAAGGGAGGGGAGGGGTGGGGTTTGGTCTTCTGTAGGTGGCGTTATGGGTGTGTGTGTGCACATGGAGTTCTCCAGCTCTTCCTGAGCCAGAGTGTTAAAGCGCTCCACCACGCAGTGTGCCGTCAGACGAGCCTCCGGGTCTTGATCCCAGCACTCTGTTATAGTCGCACACAAGAGCTGCATGCCCTAAAACACCAGACAGAAATGTGCGATTACGAATAGAAATGTCAGTAACATCTTCTAAGAAGCCTGTATATAACCTATATTTCATTTTAATTTGCCAATTTATTGTTGAATTTTGATGCAGATTGTTTTTTAGTGTATTGCAAATATAAAGTGGTTTGTTCTCGCGCTCTCACTATATATTAAATATATTGAAAAAACTGTATATATATATATATATATATATATACTATATATACAGTATACAAATATATATATTTCACTCAGTTATGACATTTTTAATGCAAATATGACATCTTGACATAAACCAATACATCATAACCTGTCAGTGTTATGACAACTTGACATTACTAAGACAACACAACCTGTCATAAACATGACATAGCAGATTAATTATCAAACTTAAACCACCTAGCTTTATTGGTTAACATTACATTAAACTGTCATGTGGTTGGTTTTGACATTGACTCTCATGAAGCCATTATAACTTTTTAATGACAAATTCAATTAGTACCACTGTATTTGAGGTCACGAAAAATATTCATGACACAGTTATAATGCCTCATGATAGCCAATGTCAAAGCCAACCACGTGACAGTTTAACTTAATTTTATGTCAAGTTGTCATGATAAAGACACTGACAGGTTATGATGTCATGGTTTATGTCAAGATGTCATAACAAAGACATCTTAACTCTAAAACCATATTCTGGACAAATGTGGGCAAAATAGTTTTGATTTATTTTTTAAAAAATATTTCCCTTGATCTGAGCAGTACAAGACTTGGTTACTTTTCCAAAGTTTGCCTCCTGAACACACAATTTAATTTTTTGACTCAATTCTACTATGTTAAGTGGGTGGAAAAAAACCCCTCTTTAATCTTGAATTTGGGTTAAAATGGGCACCCATAGAAATGAATAGGAAAAACTGTAATTTAGAGCATTCTAAAATAAGCCAAAATAAGACACCAGATGACAGCAAAGTCACTTCATCTTTAGGGTTTAGCTCTAAGAACTTATTGGAATTATATTTTAATGTAGTTAAAAAAATAAAAATAATAAAACAAAAATAAGCATAATTTACATAAAAAACATGGAACTTTTTGAAGTAAATAAATACAAAAAAATACCCCCAAAATAAAAAAAAAAACATCATAAATGGATAGACGAAACTTTATCGAAGACAGTGATATAACATTTATAATAAGTAAAAATTAGGATCACACCTGAGGCCCACATTTGTCCACAATTACAGGATTAAGGGCTATAAAGTGAATACGGTTTGAAGGCTAAACAATGTTATATTTGCATTCAAAATGTCATTGAGTGAAAGACACTTAATGACAGTTGTCATAAACATGCATAAAACTTCCTTCATATTCAAGACATACGTCATGTCATGGTTATGAATGTGTCATAAAGTGTTACCAAAAAAATAAAAATGTGTATATATATATATATATATATATATATATATATTATGCACAAATTAAAAATATTAAATTAAAAAGACTTAGTATTTTAAATGTGTGCATCACCTATCATACATGTATGTTAACATTTTGGCATTTTATAATGAATTATATAGCATATTTGTCACAATATGTTTGATGTACATAGGTTTTTATCAACATCCAGTTATAAATGTGTACCCACTGGATGTGTCGTCCAGCTCGCTGGAATATCTGGCCGTCCTCTGTCTCTTAACACCAGGTCTCTCATGCTGTCTACACAAGGTTGCTCACACACCTTGGAGCCAAATGGGGGTTCGTAACTCTTTACCTCTGTTGAAAAGAAAACAAATGTACTTTAACTCTGGCTTTTAACCTCAAGGAAATATCCACGGAGAGCTTTACTTGCCTCCTATGACGTCACACCGAGAGACCATTTCCCACAGCACAAGGGCCATGGAGTAGATGTCAATCTGTTTGAAGGACTCCAAGTCCTCTAGATTCACCCTGGACTCCAGAACTTCAGGGGCCATGTAGCGTGCCGTCCCCACCTACAGGACATGGATCATGTGATTTAAATTGGACAACTTCGCCAAATGTAATTGGTTTCATGCGATTACATCTGAGACCTTAACAAATCAACCACTGAGCTTTTAGGTTACGCTTAAATAGCTTGAAGAAATGATCACCATGCCCACTCAGATGATACATTCAGAAATGATTCAGCTGGAAGGGATGTGTGTGTGTGTAACATTTAAAGACTGTGACTATTTCGATTTCTAGAATGCTGCCTACGCAGGCATCATACGCATGTTCTTGGCAACTATGCTGTCTTCTAGCATTCCTCGTTTCGACCAAATTCTAAGGCTGAAACTATCGAAATCTGTTTCCCAGCCGTGAAGTTTCTGCCTATGTACAGCCATCGAACTTGTCCCAAAAATCCAACATGATCTGAGCCAATAGCCTCGTGGGCAGTGCTCCGACATGTAATGTGTTTGCACTTCGGGTGACCCGAGTTTGAGTCCTGGCTCAGGGACCTTTCCCAATCCTGTCAGTTCTCTATACTTGTCTATCTCAGTTCTTAAAAAAGAAAAAAGATCAGATAAAGCTAAATAAATGTTGATTATAAATATACAGTACTGTTCAAAAGTTCAGTTAGATTCCTTTAAAGGGATACTCCACTCAAAAATGAAAATCCTGTCATCAATTATTAACCCTCAAGTTGTTGCAAACCTGTTTCTGAGTTACTTTCTTCTGCTGAATACTAAGGAAGATATTTTGAAGAACGATTGAAACTTTGGCACCATTGACTTCCATAGTTTAGTTTTTTTTTCTACTATGGAAGTCAATGGTGCCAAACAACTGTTTGGTTTCAATCGTTCTTCAAAATATCTTCCTTCGTGTTCAGCAGAAGAAAGAAACTCAGAAACAGGTTTGCAACAACTTGAGAGTTAATAACTGACGACAGGATTTTCATTTTTGGGTGGAGTATCCCTTTAAAGGAATAACCGTGTTACTTTAATTCAATAGGATGCAATAAATTGATAAAAAGTGACAGACATTTACTTGGGTAAATTAATTCTTATTCATTCTTAATTCTTGCTCATCAAATAATTCTGGATTTTTTTATCATGGTTTCCACAAATAATAGCAGCACAACTGTTTTGAACATTGAAAATAAGATATGACATTGAGAATGAAGATAAAATAAGAGATCTGTCTTGATAAGCAAAATCAGTATATTAGAATGATTTCTGAAGGATAATTTGACACTAAACACTAGAGTTATAGTGCTGAAATTTCAACTTTGCAATCACAAATAAAAGAATGTTTTTGTTAAATTGTAAAAAAGTATCACAATATTATTGTTTTTAATTAAAGGGATAGTTCACTTTGAAATTAATTTTTGGTATGTTTTAGCTTACCTCAAAGGCATCCAAGATGTAGGTGTCTTTGTTTCCACAGTATTTTCAATTTTGATATTTTTAGGTCAAACCTTTCCTGTCTGTCAGTCATATAATGGAGGTCTATGGTCACCACCTCAAAGAGCATGCACAGAGAAGTCCAAATTAAACATGATTTAATGACTCGTAAATGTAAGTACACATTGATGGCCTAAGTCTAAGACATGAAACGAAACAGTATTTATATCGTTTTACCTCTTGTAACCACAACCACGTCCAACTGATCTGAAGGCACGGGCGCCCTCAGAGTACTTGGACGTGACTGTGATTACAAGAGGTAAAACAATATAAATACTGTTCGTTTTCTCACACAAACCGCTCATTTCGTGTCTTAGGCCATCAATGTGTACTTACATTTACGAGTCATTAAATTATGTTTAATTTGGACTTCTCTGTGCATGCTCTTTGAGGTGGTGACCATAGACCTCCATTATATGACTGATAGACAAGAACGGTTTGACCTAAAAATATCAAAATTGAAAATACTGTGAAAATAAAGACACCTACATCTTGGATGCCCTCGAGGTAAGCGAAAACGTACCAAAAATTGTTTTGATTTGGTGGTCATAAGAGAAAACGCATCTAAAAAAAACGTAAAAAAAAGATTACCAACCCCAGACTTTGTAAAGGTAGTGTATTTACTATTTACAGTAGTTTGGTATAATAATAAAAAATGCACTATTTTACCCAATATGTGTATGTGCTGAATCAGATTATCATGCAGTGGCTTGGCAACAAAAAATATGTAGTGCAACAAAAATCAGTCCCTTATGAGGTTCAGTTGAATTTAGGATGCTACCCATGTAGGCAGCAGACACCACGACAGCTCACTAGGTTTTTATTCAGAGCCAATGTTTCGTCTCTCCTTCCTACCTGTCCACTGTTGGCGAAATCATCTACGGTGAGGGAGAGGTCGAGTCGCAGAGCCAGCCCGAAATCACAGAGTGCACACTCGCTGTGGTTCTTCAACACGATGTTGCTGCTCTTCAGATCTCGGTGGGCGATGGGCACTTTTGGTGTGCCGCAGGGCGTTGTGTCACTGTGCAGGTGCGCCAGGCCTCTCGCTATAGAGCCTGCCAGTGAACACAGCTCGGCCCATGTGAGGATACGGCCAGCTAGGAAGTCCTGTAGGTTCCCCATGTTATAATAGGCCATAATGAGCCAGTATTGCCTCTGGGAGGCAGCAGCACTACCACCCCGCTCCTCAGCGGTCAGGAACTGCACCACATTCTCATGTTTTAAGTTGGCGTCCGAGAATATGGCTCTTTCGTTACACCACGAGGCATACTCCACCGCCGGGAAGATCTTCACAGCCACCGTTTCGTACTGCCCACCCTCACTATGACTGAGCCGTGCCCGCCACACCTCTGCGAAGCGCCCCTTACCCACCAGCGCCTCCAGCTGGATGGGCAGCTGCTCTGTGTTGTGGTTTAGGTTATTGGCACAAGTCGATGATATTTCTGAATTGACGTCATCGCTGAGGGAGGACAGCTTGCCACGGTAATCGCTGCCGTTTACTTGGCCCTCGGCTGGGTCCAGAGACTGGTAGTGTGTGCGGCGTGGTCCCCAGTCTTTGGGTTTTTTACCAGGCTGGCGTGTGCGGTACAAGTAAAAAGCCATGGTGGCAATGACGGCTACCAGAAGGGGTGGAACCAAGCTTATGACTACTACTGGAATGACGTCTTTAGACTTCAGCTTTGAGAATCCTGGGGGGGAAAAGGGATTGATTACATTAGCACACATCTCTGTTCCCAACCCCATTGAAGTGCCCTGCTATATAGGCAGCTGCCTTCTAAGGGATTGTCCTAAAGTAGTTCACTTTTAAAAAAAACTTTTGCTGATAATTTACTCACCCCCATGTCATCCAAGATGTCCATGTCTTTCTTTCTTCAGTCGAAAAGAAATTAAGGTTTTTGATGAAAACTTTTCATTTTCTCCATATAATGGACTTCATTGGGAACCAAACGGTTCAAGGTCCAAAAGACAGTTTCAGTGCAAACTGCAAACTGTTCAAAGGGCTTAAAACAACACCAGACGATGAATAAGGGTCTTATCTAGGACCCTTTGAGTCATGACTCGAAAAAAGATTCGTTCATTTTAATGAACGAGTTTGAACAGGAGAGTCATGAACGTTCATCACAGAACAGAGCAAGGCGAGCATTTGTGCTTATAAAACGTAAACTTTTTTATTATTTTTTAAATGAGCGATCGTTTCGCTAGATAAGACCCTGATTCATCGTCTGGTGTCGTTAAAAGTGTCATTCGCTGCACTGAAACTCTCATTTGGACCTTGAACTGTTTGGTTCCCATTGAATTCCATTATATGGAGAAAATCCTGGAATGTTTTCATCAAAAACCTTAATTTCTTTTCGACTGAAAAAAGAAAGACACGGACATTTTGGATGACATGGGGGTGAGTAAATTATCAGCAAAAGTTTTTTTTAAAGTGAACTACTCCTTTAACTGAAATGCTACTTGATTTTCAATACTTTTCTGTACTGAAAGAAATATATTTGAAAGTGATGTCAGATAAATTATATGTGTGTTTGTGTTAACACTAATATTAATAATAATTTTCTTTTTGTCTAGTCATGGAGGATTTTTTTACTGAGCTCATTGCAGTGGATTATGGGATATATTATTTTCAACAACGTTGAATAATGTGTGGGTGGTGTGCAAAAATGACTTGTTGGTTGAAAAAATATATGCTGCTTCCTTAGAATTTAGGAATATCTTACAAGGCACGATAATCATAATAACGCACTTTTGATGCTTTACAATTCTGCGTACATATAGGAAGCTCAGTAGGTTTTGGAATAGAGCCATGGTTCTGGATATCAAGTTCTAATAGTGTTGAAAATATTCATTTGAATGTGCTACTTTTCATGCCATACCATTGGCTCCTTTGTCAAAGATGAGTCTGTCGTTGCACTCATGATCTCCGATACAGCCGCAGATGAAGAGCAGGCCATCTTCAGAGGGCTGAGGTGTCATCAAACACTCTTTGGAGGAGTAGTTGGCCAGCATTATGTTCTCCAGGATATCCTTCGGGTTATAACACAGCGTCCGCACGCTCATGCTCACATTGTCCTTCTTCCTGCGTGAGAAAAAAAAAAAAGACAGAAACATCACTTTAAGTGATCAAATTCTTCAAAAAGATATTTCCTGTTCCCGTGATCAAATCTAGAATAAAAAATGAACCAGGGCATCACTGCTCTGAGGTGCACTTTGATCTTTACGCCAGAGTGAGAGAAATAAATGTGTTTTCTGTACATTCTGCATTAGAGTCTTTATTTGACCCCTCAGAGAGGAGCCTCTTTTTTTACACAGCTTGCTTCGACGGCAGTCACTCAAAGGTCACGTCGACTGGCTTCTTCGTAGACTGAGCCGGGTGGAACTGGCTTAAAAAGAAATCCCTTGAAAAGCGACCCATATGAGACCACAGATCCCAGGCAGATAAATCCTTATTCAATGGGGCCTTATTGAAATAGTCTGCCATTTCAGCACCAAACTTTTTACAACATCATTTCAACAGTAGAATATCAGTTTCCAGCACAATAACATGGTATTGGAGCAACTGAAGAGCAAAACAGACAGGAATCAAAAGCATGCATCGCGACCAGTGAGGTCCTGAACCAAAGATTCGAATGGATCGGTTCTTTTTAACCGAATCAAACACAACTTTGACTGAGATAGTGCGATTCAAATTACAGTTAAGGCCCTTGCGTACTGAGTCTGAAATTCGCGTCCGAAATTTTCACACGTTAAAAAACAAATACGACCTCACGTTATGTCAATCCGTAACTTTCGTCCGTCATAAAAAAATTCGAATCGGGTTTGTTTTTCTGCGTTTTCGCATCCGTAGGAAGCAGTTTGAATGGAGTTTGAATGGTGTTTTAACAAATTCAGAGCCACTGAATCACGACTACGAAAAAACGCAAACGAAAATTTCAGACTTAGTGTGCAATGGCCTTTACTAGAAGTTAAATATGCCCCTCTATGTCAGTAGTATTTTATATTAAAAAAAATGATTTTTAAAAATATTGTTTTCTAGTATTGTAGAATTCAGTAAAAACGGTCTAAAACGACTCCTATGGAAGTTATCTCATCATTTGCAAGATTTCCTCCAAAATGTTTATTCTAGGGCTGTCAAACGATTAATCGCGATTAATCGCATCCAAAATAAAAGTTTGTGTTTACATAATATATGTGGGTCCACTGTGTATAATTATTTTGTGTATATAAAAATACAAACACATGCATGTCTATTTAAGAAAAAAATATTATTTATATATAAAATATTTATATTTCTATAATATAAATTATATATAAAGCTATATACAGTATATACATGAAAATATTTCTTAAATATATACAAGCATGAGTGTGTATTCATATATATATATATATATATATATATATAAATATACACAGTGCACCCACATATATTATGTAAACACAAACTTTTATTTTGGATGCGATTAATCGTTTGCCCTATGGAATTAATGGAACCAGGGATAGTTCACCCAAAAATCATTTACTCACCCTCACGTTCCAAAACTTGCATGAGTTTATTTTTGAACACAAAATCTGATACCAGTAGAGTAGACCGTAGCCATTGACTTCCATAGTATTTTTTTCATACTATGGACGTCAACGGCTCCCATCAACTGTCTGGTTACCAACTTTTTTCAAAATATTTTCTTTTGTGTTCAACAGAAAGAAAATCGTACAGATTTGGAACAACTTGAACGTAAGTAAATAATGACAAAATTTTCATTTTTGGGTGAACTATCCCTTTAAGGAGATGATTCCCAATCTCTAGTAATCATCTTGTTGTCTTATAATGTATCGCAGAGGCTAGGCTGAGATTTTTAGCCTTTGAATTGTGCCATAGAGAACAGTGTTCCTACTATCAAAGTCAATTTTATGCAAGTCACATATATACTTCAAATTTAGTTGTGGACTTACCATATCGCCACACACACTTCTTCAGCCAGGGTACAGTAAGAGGTCAGGCTGCAGTTGCTCATGCAGACGTTGTCTTCACATACCGGACTCGAGTTGTCACACCACTTACACAGGTTGGTCTTTATGAGGGTGAAACTCTGCGTCTGCAACACTACAATAGGGACAGGCAAAAACATTTCATAGTTTACACAATATTTAAAAAATCTATTTCTTTCTTAATTCTTTCTGAAGATTTTGGGTAGATGACAAATATCATGGATATATTACATAGTAAACATGTATATGTATTAATTTGTGTTTTTCCACCACCTTTTTAGCCTTTTTCATATGATAAATTAGATTTTTGGGAGTGAACTATCCATTTAAATTCCCCTTTGGTGTGTAGAATGGTAATATGTATCATTGTAGTTTTGTTAATACTTTGAATCAGTTTTTATTTCTGTTTTATTTATGGATGGACCCATATAAAAATTTTGCCCGATACCGATACTCGATAAATATATTTTTAATTATAATTGAATAATTATATATTTATAATTAATTATAATTATATAATTTAATTATGATTATTTAATTTAATTTTAATTAAATTAAATAATTATAACCGATATTTGAAAGCTGATGACCGATATATCGGCCAATAAATCTAAATCAATTTTTTGAATATTTTTTTGAAAGCCTGATCGCAAAGGCAAAAGTCTAACCATTAAATCCATGTCCCAAACACATAAATATAATGATGTTCTCATTTTAATTTTATGAAGTTTTAGTAATTATCGTACATCAAGTTAAAATAAATGAAAATGTTGCTTCGGTCACTAGCTGAAATAAAATATAAATTATTGTATAACCATACATTATAAAATACTTCAGGCCAAAACTTTACTTTAACAAAAATAGATGATGTCCTTGGGACTCTCAAGGAAAAATTATTTATTGCCTAAAAGCACAAATAAGTCAAGCGTGCAGTAAAAGCAGTCAAAACTGTCTAATGATGAAACTGATTGCAATGCAAAGTTATAAGAATGAAAGCTGTAATGACAGCTGCAATCAAGACAGCATTTAAGAGCAAATCTTTGAGTTACGTGACCCATCTGGAGTTCATAAATCTCTAATTGGATTTGGATGAATGTAGTATATGGCCTGGTGTGTGTGTATTTGGTTTGGTGCACACATCACTGAAAGCATGTGTATTCATGAGAGTGTCAGGAGTTCCTGTGGTTAAGTGGGATAAGCCTGAATTCCTTCCCACGCACACGGTCTCCTCTGTCCTGATACTACCACATCACAACAATATTAATTGTTTATTAAAAGCAGATGAGGGGTGGGAGCCGTTTCACTGAAGGAGTGCGGTGACCTTACAGTAAACGGTTAAAAATAATAATAAAAAGAGCAGAGATATTTAACACAGACTTCCAGATGTCCGCTGATGCCAACCATCAAAATATACAACAGAGAGAGAGAGAGAGAGAGAGACATGAAGGGAGAAAGAGACAACAGAGAAAAAGAGAAAAACTTAAGGCTAAGCACAAAAGCCCCCCTTCCATAAACTTTAAAGTAATTAAACTCTGCAGCAACTGCTCCAGAAATAAATTGAAGCCAGAAACGCTCATACTGGCCAAGTTTGAAGCTCAACCCCTCAGTGCCTATGGGAACACCAATGGCTGCATGCTTACAAGAGATGCTGGCCTGCAATTATTTAGTTTACTCTCAAGCACGATTCCCTTCTCGTACCCTATATGTAATTCATAAGTATCATAATGAATATTTGTAATATAGTGTGTGTGTGTATCAGTTTTCTAGACTGGTATTTGTAAAATGGTAGTGTCAACCCAGTGCGATCGCGATTAATCGCATCCAAAATAAAAGTTTGTGTTTACTTAATATATGTGGGTGCACTGTGTATAATTATTTTATGTATATAAATACACATACATGCTTGTATATATTTAAGAAATATTTTCATGTATATACTGTGCATAGATTTATATATCATTTATATTATTAAATATTTTATATATAAATAATATTTTTTTCTTAAATATACATGTGAGTGTGTATATATATATATATATATATATATATATATATATATACAAAATAATTATACACAGTGCACCCACATATATTATGTAAACACAAACTTTTATTTTGGATGCGATTAATCGCAATTAATCATTTGACAGCCCTACTATAATTATATAATATAATATAATAAAATAATAAATACAAATATGATAAATGATTTATATATATATATATATATATATATATATATATATATAAGGGCTGTCAAACGATTAACCGCGATTAATCGCATCCAAAATAAAAGTTTGTGTTTACATAATATATGTGGGTGCACTGTGTATAATTATTTTATATATATATAAATACACACACATGCATGTATATTTAAGAAAAAAATATCAATTAGATATAAAATATTTACATTTCTATATAATATAAATTATATACAGTATTTACATGAAAATATTTCTTAAATATATACAAGCATGTGTGTGTAGTTTATATATATATATATATATATATACAAAATAATTATTATTATAAACAGAGGGTACCTGACTTATGCACCTAAAAATTACACGTGTAATATAAATATATATACTATATATTTCCCCTCCCATATACCTTTGCATGCTATAAAGCATTTTCGGGGGCCCCAGTATGCAGTAATCAAACTATCCCACTGGGTGGCAGATTTCCAAGTTTTTCCAATTCCTTTTAAACTCAGCTTGATCCCTGAAAGCATTTCCTGATATTAAATGCATAACAGTACAGTGAAAGCAGCACTGGCATTACTGTCGCATTCATGACAAACAGATGTCTTCAGAAGTAGCTGTTTTAATGTTGACTGTGGCTCCCACACACTCTATGAGTGCCGTTTCAGTGTTCAGGGAGGGTGAAGGGCCTGGCCCCGTTACTCACTGATAAGAGACGCAATCTCTTATCATTGTCAGCGAAATGTTCTCATTCCAAGTAATAAGTAGCAACCCTTTATCATAATTCAACACAAGACGCCTCTCCTCCACAGGTACCATGCAAACCCATGCCCACTAAAGAACAACTTCTTGGACTCGAGGCGAACAAAGGAGCAAAAGAAAGTCTGTGTTCAGTGAGAGGTCACTGTGGTTGGGTTAGGCCTTTCAGCATCATACCCTCTGTTTAAGTCATTACAATATTGCCATTGTGGGCAATCATGTTGACAAAGCAGAGAAGCATCAAGGGATCTAGATGGATGTCTTTGTATTTTTATGTACAGTCTCTCTGTGAGGTCACATTCGCACACACTGACACTAGCAGCCTTTCTGTATTTCCCAGCTTTTTCTCAGAGTCGTTTCAAACAACAGATGGGATATGATAAGTGAGACTGAGAAGTGCTAGTTTTCTTCTCTCGGCCTGCATGGTAATATTTCATAATTGTTGTTGTAAGTGGAGCTACTCTATACACACCCAAACCCTTTAAGGAGGCCCCTAAGATTTCCCTGTTGGAACTTTCCTAGCATCGTGTTGTTTTCATGCGGTCACAGTGCATGGCATCTTTTATGCCCATTGTAGAGATTCTGTTTTTTATTAAGAGCATTTCTTTGGCGTACAGTTTCCCAACACACTGTAAAAAAAATATTGTTGGTTTAACTTAAAAAAGTAAGTAACCTGGTTGCCTTAAAATTTTAAGTTGATTGAAATGGAAAAAGTGAGTTAATACAATGAAGGAGATTGATTTAATCATCAGAAACTCAAAATAGTAAGTTATCTGAACTAAATATATTATTTAAGTTGATTTGACAAAAGAAAAAATGTTGTGATAACAAATCTTGAAAACATCATGTTTGCAGATCCTATTTTCAATATTAAGTACTGTTATGAAAATGCAAAGACTTTCATTGGTCTTTATACTTTTTATACTGTTATTGTTACTCATCTTAAAAAATACATTTAGCCTATATAGCTATATATATACAGTATATATACAGTATATATATATATATATATATATATATATATATATATATATATAAGATGAACATATAGTTCGGACCTTCATCACCTCAGGAGGTATACGTTTTAGCTTTTTTTACTCAACAATCATTTCATAATTTCATAATTTATTTTTTAAGGATTGTAACAAGAATTAATTGACTATTCACTGTAAAAAATCTTTTCATGATTAGTAATCACAACATTTTTTCTTTTGTCAAATCAACTTAAATCATTTTTTTATTTCAGAAAACATATAATTTTGAGTTTCTCCTTCATTGTATTAACTCACTTTTTCCACTTCAATGAACTTAAAATTTTAAGGCAACCAGGTTACTTACTTTTTTAAGTTAATTTTTTTTAAAGTGTGTGTAATATTTATGTTTATTATACAATTATTTTCCTCACCTTTATTCAATAAAAGAATCTTACATGAAAATCTACATTTAAGCATTGATTTCTTATTGCATTAATCCATCAATCAATAGGAGGCAAAATCACTAATGCTTAAAACTCACACTCACACAAATCAATAAAAATATAAAACTGTAGCCTATTTTTCAAGTAAATAAAACTTGAACCTTAATATACAACTATTTAGCATTTGTATCTCAGAAAACCAAAAGAATAAATTTTCTGGAACTGGAAGTCATTGTCACCATAAGCATTGTCTATTTTTTCTGAGTAAATAAACTTTTAACCAATATATGCAAACCAGTTTTTTTTGTATCCCAATCTTTACAGTTGTGTGATTTTGTTTCTGTATCCTTTTAAATATAGGCTATTAGACATTGTCTTCAGTGTCAAAAGAAGTTTTGCAATCAAACTCAAAGACAAAGCTCTGATGCGTGGAGCCTCCTTGAGACAACGAAAGCAGATCGAGAGAAGTGAAGATCTACTCACGACAGAAACACAGAAGAACAGATGTGTGAGCCCACAAACTGCAGCCTCCGCGACCCATAATATCTCACGATCCGAAGATCCCAAACTGCTGAAGCGATTCCGTTATTTTCTTTATCTGCTCGTGTCAAAGACACAGATAAGCTCATCTGTAAGAGATTCAGGACTGTGTGTGTGTGTGACTGAGTTCCGTGTAGGCGGATCCAGATGTTTTTAATCCAGATGTGAGTGAGAGCGGATCCGCCCAGGAACTCACATTTATCAATGCACGATTCACAATATACAGAGAACTGATTGAATCGAACAATGAACTACAGTCCAGCTTGTAGTGAGAGAAGAACTACAATTTAATTTCTTTTTTTCTTTTCTTTCTTTCTTTCTTTCTTTCTTTCTTTCTTTCTTTCTTTCTTTCTTTCTTTCTTTCTTTCTTTCTTTCTTTCTTTTTGATGATAATAATAGGTCTAAGCTAGACTTTTTACCCCCCCCCCCAAATAAATAAAAAATAAAATAAAAATAAAGTTAAGCCATACAAAACTGAGATTCCGCACTTTTGTCGTGACGCTGCACAAAATGTAAATAGCTTTATTCAAATAATTTCGTGATGATGACAGACTTTTGAACACAGTTGGGAAATGCTTAAAGTAGTAGTTCACTTTAAAAAAAAAAAAAAAACTTTTGCTGATAATTTACCCACCCCCATGTCATCCAAGATGTCCATGTCTTTCTTTCTTTCAGTCGAAAACAAATTAAGGTTTTTGATGAAAAAACGTTCTAGGATTTTCTCCATATAATGGACTTCAATGGGAACCAAACGGTTCAAGGTCCAAATGAGAGTTTCAGTGCAAACTGTTCAAAGGGCTTTAAACGACACCAGATGATGAATAAGGCTCTTATCAAGCGAAACGATCGGTCAATTATAAAATAAATAAAAAGTTTAGGTTTTATAAGCACAAATGTCCAAGTCTCCAAGTCACAAATCTCCTGTTCAAACTCGTTCATCAAAATGAACAAATCTTTTTTCGAGTCATGACTCGTGGGGTCCTAGACAAGACCCTTATTAATCGTCTGGTGTCGTTTAAAGCCCTTTGAAGCAGCACTGAAACTCTCATTTGGACCTTGAACCGTTTGGTTCCCAATGAAGTCCATTATATGGAGAAAATCCTGGAATGTTTTCATCAAAAACCTTCATTTCTTTTCGACTGAAGATAGAAAGAAATGGACATCTTGGATTACACGGGGGTGAGTAAATTATCAGCAAAAGTTTTTTTTTTTTTTTTTTTTTTAAAGTGAGTTAGCCTACTCCTTTAATGCTCGAACTGTTTTCTCTCATAATCCGCTAAAATCATCTTAATAAAGTTAATGAGACATACGTGTACACCATTTAAACAGTTTAAATCATTATATTAATAATTTCAACAAAATAATGTTTTTTTTTAGAACATTCGTGCTATTTTATGAGTAACTGAATGTCACGCGCGCGTGCACGCACACATACTTGCTGTGAAACAGTGAAAGTGGCCAACGCGCAAGCGCGAGACGGGCAAACCATGGCGGATTCAGGAAGCGAAGATATAGCGGTGATTGGAAACACAGATCTGACTCCTTCGGAGTCGGAAAACAACTTAAAGAACACGGTAAAGCCCGTAACAGAATATTTTTATGGGGGTGGCCGATAATGTCTGCTGAATTATAGATGTCGCGCGTGTGAGCGCGTGATATATGCGGGACGGCAGTGTTTTGCTTTGGCTCATGAATGGCCATAACAATATTGCTAAAATATCAGGAGGTTCCGCGAGCACATTACACGAGTTGGATGTATGTTGTTGGACTTTTTTTATTACAGTGTTTGTGAATTATGTAAACAACAACAATAATTATATAAAGCCGCACACACGAAGAAAGTTGCTTTACTGTTTATGTTGTCAATGAGGAGCCTTTGCCACGTAGTTTGTAAACACCCAGTATATCATACAGACAGTCATCTGACGCGTTGGGTTAGTCCGCATCCTTGATTCATGTTCTGTAGATTATTTCTACAATGTTATTCACACAAATGTACCTTTTTAATTGGCTTTTCTTTTTATGAAACTAAACCTTAAACTGCCATGGTGCTGAACGTCAGTTTGAAACCATCATGTGTAATCCAATCATTCATTGTCTATATTAATAATAATAATAATTTTTTTGACATTATTTTTGTATCTGAGAGGGGATTACCCATTCTGAGTGAAACTATAAACATGTGAAAAAAATAATTTTACCTAAACAAATTTTTGCTTTGATGTGTCCAAACTTCCTGATTCAGCTGGAAATATGTCAAAACATGAGAGAAATCTGCTCATAGAAATACCTGTGCTTTTTTTTTTTTTTGCATTGAAAATAACAGAGATACTGTAGTGGTGTCATGCATATTAAACATTATGCTTTTCTGGATCAAATTTTACAGATGGTTGAAAAAGGTACAAGTCTTCTGAAGAGGATGGAGATCAGTGTGGCTGAAGCAGAGAAGAGGACCGGCAAGAATGCCGTCAACATGCAAGAGACTTATACAGTATATCTTATAGAGACACGGTAAGACACTTCCCTTTCACAGTGCTACTACGACTCATTAAATCTATTGTCTAAATTCAGGTTATAGATCTTATTGTGAACACTTCATTCGTGCATGTTTTATTATTTACATTTTATTAATGCATTTTATTTTATACACACATTATATACATTTTATATACACATTTAAATCACATTATCAAATAAATGTTTTTCTCCAAAACACGCTGGCCACAATTATTGGTATATAGTAAAATTTCTCTGAAGTATATTCCCATTAATGACTAAAAAAACATGAAATTGTATAGCTATGACTTGTTGTTTCACATGAGTTTAAATATGAGGAAACACAAAGGCCAAATTCCCTTATTCATCCATCACAATGAGTGAAACCAAAGAATATAGTTCTGATGTGCAGCGAAAGATTGTTCAATTTCACATAATAGAAAGTGGAGGCAAGAAAATAGCTAAAGGATTGATAATACCTATTTGGACCATCAGGGCAATAATTAAGAAGTTCCAATCAACTAAAGATGTTACGAATCTGCCTGGAAGAGGACCGGTGTCTATATTGTCTTAATGCACGTTGAGGAGAGTTTGAGTGGGTAAAGACTCTCCAAGGATCACAGATGGAGAATTGCAGAGATTAGTTGAGTCTTGGGGTCAGAAAGCCTAAAAAAAACAATAACACCTAGTTGAGTTGAGTGAACTGAAGAGAAGAAACGCCAACATGGATCTGGGAATCTGGAGAGATTCTGTATGGATGAATGGTCTCTGATCTCTTGTCAGGTTTCCCAAACTCAACAGGCATTATAGGAGAAAACTCAGAGCTGTTATCTTGTCTAAAGGTATTTGATAAAAGGGTACCAATAATTATTTTGTATAAAAAACATTTTATAATTGAACCCCCTACACTTTCAATTCTTTTACTTCAGTGAAAGGTTAGACTTTTTGCTGTTTTTTAAATGAAAGATCAGGATTAACTATGCAGATTTATTTTTACAGCCATTTTTAATCATATTTTCCAGGGTTGCCAATAATTCTGACCACATATGGAGTTTATATTGACATATACCATTTATTCTGTGGTTAACCCAAAACTATACAAAAGTATTACCTAAATACTTGTTCTTTAAAGGAGGTTAGAAGCCATGTAAACCCTACCATGTCACAAGTATTGCATGTGTTCCTTTCTTTACATGATAATGAAGGTCAGGGGTTTGGATGAAGTTAGTTTCGAGATATTTAAACAATGTGTAATGATAGCTGGAAGTATGGAGCTAATGAAACTAAAGGTTTTCACCTCTTGTGAATATGAATAACCAGTTGTAGATATGGTAGGTTTACACATTGACTTTCTGAATGAACTATGCTCACGCTGTACTAGCATGGCGAACTGCAAAACATCAAAGAGTCACGGCACACTATATCAGTTCAGAAACTGTGGAAGCCGGACTGGTTGAGACCATCGGATTTCCTCTCTTTACTTGTTTACACTAGACCTCTTCTTCCTGTGCTTGGGTCTGTCACTTTAACATGTTCTTTCTACATCAAATAAAACAAAACAGAAGTATTTCACTGGACAGGAAGTGATATTATGCAGCAGAAGTGTAACTTTCACCTCTCACTCTGACCCCGTCACCCGCCAAGCTTTGTGTTGGAAAGAGGGACTTGTCATTCTGGAGAGGGTGATGAGTCAGCGCTTCAGGCAGATGTGCTTTGTCTGTGTTTTCCAGCAGGGCCAAACACGCATGCTGGCCTGAGTGCAATAACATATTATCACATGATTCGAAAACAATACTTAGTGGTCAAAATCATAAAATCACTGCCTGCAACCAAGACATGTTTTTTGGTATGTCTAAAAAACGGATAAGATTTTCCCCCAGAACTAGGTTTATACAGTTTTTTTTAAATTAAATGAGAATAGAGCTTGCTGTTGTGGGTGGTTGCCCCAAATCTTAAGCCCCAAATCAGTATATTAGAATGACTTCTGATGGATCATGTGACACTGAAGACTGGAGTAATGATGCTGAACATTCAGCTTTGCCATCACAGGAATAAATTGATTTTTATCCCCTTAGCTGTCACCCCCCTTTTTGAGAATGGGGGTTAAAATGCACTATTTAAACATAAATGGTTGTAATTCAAGAATGCTTTGGAATAAATACCCAAGTTTGGTCATGTTTTTAAAGAAAACACTTAAAAAAATGAACGTATGAAACCGTTACGGAAGTTTAAATTTACAGTACTTTTTTACTCTAAATTTTTACTCTAATTTTTACTCTAAAATTACTATAAAATCAAAGCCATAAATCTAACCAGGTTATGTTCCAAATTTGAAGTTGATATCACAAAAATTAAAGTTCCCATGAGATTTTATTTAGGCGTAGTACCAAAATAGCCACTGGGTGCCATTGAGTTTAGTTGTATACATTCTGCCTTAACAAATTAATACAAATTAATAATTTTTGTCCAAATATCAGTTCTGGCACAATATGTGGAACCTTGAGACTCAGACCTTTCTGACAATATGTGTTTTGTCAAGATTAGAATAGGTTTTGATCAGAATGAAATATAATGATGCCCAAAAGGCGAGGAGTCTGATAAAATAAGTACCATTTCTAT